AAAAAAAAAAAAAAAAAAAAAAAAAAAAAAAAAAAAAAAAAAAAAAAAAAAAAAAAAAAAAAAAAAAAACAAGTGTCTGAAAATTAAACACTTATGGAAAAAACAATTTCATCATCAAATCTGATGATTCTATAAATTACCAAAAACAAACCTCTAGCTAAAACCGCAAAGCAATGCCTCCTGCGTGCCACCGGCCAGGCTCCTCCATGGCAGTACTTCCTGCCTCCACCCGGCCCACTGAGCTCAGGCCCCGGCCATGCTCTCTCCTCTTTCCCGGTTCTTGGGAAGCAGGTCTGGTGTGCAGAAGGCAAACTTCGCCCAATGCAGCTGTTACACCAGCAGGCAGAGATGTGGCCATGCAGTGTGTGCTATAAGTGGGTGGGAAGGAGTCAGGAGTTCGCCCCTCCTCGCAGGGCCATAGCAGAGCACACAGGGCCGCAGGCAGGGCCAGAACGCAAAGTCTGATGACACATGAGGGGCCAGTTAGACCTTACCTTGTTCATTTTCTACGGGCAGCAAGATTCCTTTTTTTAAAAAAAATGTATCATGGCATAAGTTTCACATTCAAAAACGCTTTCCCTCCTACCTTGGAGGCCTTGCTGTTTGCGTCTGTCTGCCATTGTCACTCACCCAGCACACACCAGGGTTCCTTGAACCTGAGGACACTTTTCCAATCTGACTTCCTTGGGGAAACTTGGTCAGCCTAGAGATCCTCTGGCCAAGTCTCTCAGCTGATCTTGTCATCTTGGTCTTCTTGCTAAACATAGAGTTCTTCGAAATTACCTTTGAGGTTACTGATTTTGAGTCATCCCATTATTCAGCCCTGCTATTGAATTATCTTAGGCCAACAATGATTTTTAATTAAAGATAGCTTTGATCATAACCTCTTTCATACAGCCTCTTTTGGGTACAAGTTTACCTCAAATTTCTGAGCAGCATAATCAGGTTTGTCTTATTCCATTCAGGTTCCTAAAGTAACCTCGATTGGATCCTTTATAAAGAATGGAAGTGTGGTGCTCACAGCTCAGATGGCCGAAGTCCAAGGTCAAGGCACCAGCAGGTTCAGCATCTGCCTGCTTCCTCACAGGCAGCACCTCCTCACTGTGTCTTCACACACTGAAAGGGGCAAAGCAGCTCTCCGGGGCCTCCTATAAGGGCGCTAGTGACCTCACCAACTTCCAGAGGCCCCATCTAATTCCATCCTATGTGGGATTAGGTTTCAACGCATAGGCGGACACGTTCAATCCTTCACAGGTTTTTATTCTTGAATTATCTTGTGATTACATTTTCTCCAAGATCAGTTCTCTTTCATGACATGCTACTCACTTTCCTTAAATGTCAGATATCCTTGTTGACCATGTAGAACTCTGAACGCAGCATTAGGACAACTCACAAAGGTAGCTGCCCTGGATTTCCTCCCGCCATGTCCCTTCCTAGAGCAGGGATACTAGGCTGGGTGCAGTGGCTCACACCTGTAATCCCATCACTTTGGGAGGTGAAGGCGGGTGGATCACCTGAGGTCAGGAGTTCAAGACCAGCCTGGCCAACATGGAGAAACCCCATCTCCACTAAAACTACAAAAATTAGCTGGGTATGGTGGCAGGCATTTGTAATCCCAGCAACTCGGGAGGCTGTGGCAGGACAATCACTTGAACCCAGGAGGCGGAGGTTGAAGTGAGCCGAGATTGTGCCATTGCACTCCACTCTGGGCAACGAGAGCAAAACTCCACCACCAAAAAAAAAACAAAAGGGAGACTAGGGGCATGGACTGCTCAGAGGGTAGGGGTAAGATTAGTGTGCATGGACAGAGAACTGATGGGGAATCCCTCCCCACTCTATGCCAAACAGGAGGGCTCCAACTTGGGCTGGGTACATTTTTCTCCAGGAAGAGCTGCCTCTTCCTGTCCTGTCCTCTGCCCGTGTCCTTCGTGAACCACCACCACAGCAGAGCTGCACAGAGGGCACCGCCTTCAGAGATCCTGCTCCAGCTGAGCCTAGTGGGTGGGTCAACTTCACAGGACGGCCTTCTCCTGAACCAGATACCCCTCCTGCAGACTTTAATCTATGGGCCTCTCCAGGTTTAGGGTAAGGACAACTGTCCCCCCAAATTTTGTAGATTGTCCCAGCTGCCTGACCAGAAACCACATTCTCCAGGCCCCATGTCAGTGCTCAAGCCTATTTACAGCCCCACAGATACTGAGCACATACTAGGGGACAAGAGCAGTGCCAGGTATACACTGGTTTAAAAGAATATCCCTGTTCTCACAGAGCTCATAGTTAACAACAACAAAAAAAGTCCATTTCAGAGTATGCTGAGATTAATAAAATAAAATGGGTAAATGCAACTGGTGGGGCAGGGACAGGGAGGAGAATGGACATCTCCCTTAGGTCTGGAAGCTTCTTTGAACATGAGACCAAAACAAACCAGCTTCCTACAGTTCTAAGGGAAGGACATTCAGACACAGAGGAGCAAATATGACATCTTGAGACAGGAAGGGCTTTGGTAGGCCCAGGTACAGAGGCTGTGCGGCAGTGAGCTGGCCCAGCTCTGGCGCTTGGGCAGGAGAGGGGAGTGAGGAGGGGAGGGAGAGCTGGAGGCAAGTGGGGGCAGGGGCTAATGACAGCATCTATATAACTGCCCACTGGTTGTTATCCATGATGAAGTATAAAAGCACAAATGAGTATCAACAGAGAGAAAAATGATTTTTATTCATTTGTAGGTATCAATAAAAGACCTAGCATTTTAAAAACTCCATTGTAAAACATAGGTTACCATAAAAATGTATTTCACAGGTTAATATTTCAATATTTAATAGAAAACATGTCACATGCAAAACCTGTCACTTCACATCTTCGATTTTAATAAGTTGATAATACCTAATCAAAAAGTACATGTGAAAACAAAGCTTTTTCATAGTTGAACTTTAAGTCATTAAAAATTATTCAATAAGATGTATGTAGTGCTGGCTGGGTGTGGTGGTTCACACCTGTAATCCCAGCACCTTGAGAGGTTGAGGCAAGTGGATCATGAGATCAGGACTTCAAGATCAGCCTGACCAACATGGTGAAACCCCATCTCTACTAAAAATACAAAAGTTAGCCGGGTGTGGTGGCACGTGCCTGTAATCCCAGCTACTTGGGAGGCTGAGGCAGGATAATCACTTGAACCTGGGAGGTGGAGGCTGCGTTGAGCAGAGATCGCATCACTGCACTCCAGCCTGGGCGACAGAGTGAGACTGTTTCAAAAAAAAAAAAAAAGATGTATGTAGTGCTAATAAAAAAGTTTCATATTTTTTCTCTTACCCTCCCAAATATTATCGAAAGGTCTGACTCTCTGGGTAACAAAAGTGACATATTTCAGTTGCTACTGTTCAACAGTTTCATAAATTTAAAAAGCCACATCCTGTTATGCTTTCAAATCATTTCACTGAAACCTAACTCCTATCAAAGAATATTAAGATAAATCACACATGTGATCCAGATTCCAGAGGCCAGAACACAACTACAGTGCTTTTAGAAAGTGACTGTTTTCAGAGATGACTTACAAAGAAATGCATTTTGTAACAGGCACACTGAGTCACTGCAACAAGATGACATCTGTACATGGTGCTGTTTACTCACTAAGAAATGAAGAACCTGAAGGCGACTGAGATGGCAGCTCACAGGCGGAGGGCAGAAATGCACAGGCTTCCAGGCTGCCCAGCCCTTTATGTCCTACTTCCTCTTGATGTTTACAGCTCAGTTTCACTTAAATTTTAAAAAGCCAGATTCTGTAACACAGCCTTAATCCTTATATTTTCATCTCCTCTACATTTTAGAGCCCAAGAAGTATTTCTGCAATATTTAGGCTAATATGAAATGAGAAAGTGGCATTACACAGGTCATGCAGTCTGCTTACTTACCGAGATCGACGAATTATGTCTAATTTGCTCCTTTTACTAATAAAGGTAACTTTTAGTATAAAGCCATAATTACAAAGTACAAAAACAGCGCAATCCTAGCTTTATTTATACATAAATATGCATGCATCACTTTCTATTGTTTTTTTCTACTTGCACATTTTAAAATACTTTCGTATTATACACATCTGTGACCTACATCATAGCAGTAATGCTTTAACTGTATACATGAGACTGCGGAAATTCTATTATTGGCTCTATTTTTAAGGGCTACAATGAAATTATGTACAGTATATAAAGCTTGTCAAACTGAACATGGTCTTAGGCCATTACTACTATTTCATTCCAATTTGGATTTTAATACAATTAACTTACAGATCTGAAATAAAAGCACTGCTTAATGGTTTCAGATGCATTTTGGTATTGAATATGTTTAAAGGAATCTTTACAAATAATAAATTATAATGAAGAGAACTTGCAACTAAAGCTGCTTACGTGGACAACAGGAGGAATGGCGATTGCAAATGTTATCTGTTATTGACAATTCTATGAATTAAAACTCATAGCCACTTCTAGATTTTTTAAAACAAGCAAAACTAAATAGCACACACAAGAGTACTTTAATATAACCTTAATGGTCTAACAAACCTTCCAAATGGAAGGAAATACAAAATAAAGTTGACACATCAAATTTAAATTATACTAATATACTTCAGTATTATAACTTTACCAAGTCATATTGCCAACTATGTGTAGAACCACCTAATATTAAAATATATACTATGGTGGGTAAGCTCTGATTCCAGAGGGCTAAAGCCAAGGTTTTCAAAGATCACAGGTACCAGCAGCCACACACACAAAGTTGTGTGATCCTACGGCTTCAATGACACCTTTCATCAGGCTCTTAACACTGGTGTTTTCATGGGTTCCCCCCGGTAATGAAACTGAGTGTAGATAATTTTCATAAAGAAATGTACAGTTAAAAATATTAAATCTTCCACACATGGGCTCAAATAGGAAGTATTTTGTTTAGTAAAATGAAAAATTAATTTTAAAAAATATCTGCAGTCTTTTTGAAACACAAGGCACCAACAGAGAGCAGACATTCCAGCAGAGTGATTGTCTGGAGAAAAAAATGGAACTGATCAGTCCTTTGTCCTTCGTTAATTAGAATACTTCCTTCTTCATGTCTATGCAACATCTTCCAGATAATCTGCAACATCACTGAGCTGGGATACAGTCAGGTCTTGTGTGAGGTCATCAAGCTTAGTTGTTCAAAACAAAGAAAAGAATTAGTGTCGGAATGTGAGTTATTTAAAATAACTTAAGAGTTATTTTAAAAATCAAAACCACAATGAGATACCACCTTACTCCTGTAAGAATGGCCATAATCAAAAAACAGAAAAATAATATAAATGTTGGTGAGAATGTGGTGAAAAGGGAACATTTTTACTCTTGATAGGAATGTAAACTAGTACAACCACTATCAAAAACAGTGTGGAGATTCCTTAAAGAATTAGAAGTAGACCTACTGTATGATCCACCAATCCCACTACTGAGTATCTACCCTGAGTAAAATAAGTCATTATATGAAAAAGATACTCGCACATGCATGTTTACAGCAGCACAATTCACAACTGCAAAAATATGAAACCAGCCCAAACGCCCATCAATCAACAAGTGGATAAAAAAATTGTGGCATATACATACCATCAAACACTATTCAACCATAAAAAGGACCAAAATAGGCCAGACACAGTGTGCCTGCAATCCCAGCACTTTGGGAAGCTGAGGCAGGCGGATCACCTGAGGTCAGGAGTTCAAGACCAGCATGGCCATGATGGTAAAACCCTGTCTCTACAAAAATACAAAAATTAGCCAGGCACGATGGCATGTGCCTATAATCCCAGCTACTTGGGAGGCTGAGGAGGGAGAATCACTTGAATGTGGGAGAATTGCTTGAACCCGGGAGGCAAAGGTTGCTGTCAGCCTAAATCACGCCACTGCACTCCGGCCTGGGGGACAGAGCGAGACTTCGTCTCAAAACTAAAAAAAAAAGGAACAAAATAATGGTATTTGAAGTAACCTAGATGAAACTAACTGGAGGTCATTATTCTAAGTGAAGTAACTCAGGAATGGAAAGCTGAACATATTTTCTCATTTATAAGCAGCAGCTAAGTTATGAGGAAGTAATGGCATAAGAATGATACAATGGACTTTGGGGACTCTAGGGAAAGAGTGGGAGGAGGGTGAGGGATAAAAGGCTCCAAATCGGGCTCAGTGTATACTGATCAGGTGATGGGTGCATCAATATCTCACTAATTACCACTAAAGAACTTATTCACCAACCAAACACCACCTGTTCCCCCAAAACCTATGGAAATAAGAATTAAAAATTTAAAAAACTGTTGCTGTAATCAAAATATTACCTTATACTTCATAAACCACCTCATATTTAAACCTGTATTAAGAAGTGATTTGCCTAAAATCATAGCTAGTAAGTTAATAAAACCTTTTGAGTTCAATGTTTTACACTGACTACTCTCAAGTATTTCAAGTGAAAATTAAAAATAAAATATAACTTAGACATTATTCCAATTTAATCTCAGAAACTAATGAAAAATTGTATTAAACCTCTTTACCTGAGCATAGTCCCAATGTGTACTCTGTTCACAGTATCACTCTATTAATTGCTAACTCTAAAACCATAATTTACCCATGTTAAATTCACTAAAATTCATTAAATGTATAATATCCTCATTTGAAAACTATCCGTTCCTATGTTTTCATATGATGGCAAAGAACATTAAGTTTATAACATCTAACTCAACATTGTGTGACACACTTTATTAACTTTATTAACACTGTACCACATGAAGCCAGATCACGAATCTTTTTGGACGCTGAAGTGAAACAGAAGGGCAGACAAGACAGTCCATGGAGTCTCAGACTCCCAGCCCTGGCTTCACAAAGTATTGGAAGAAATGACTAACTTTTATTTCTGTTTAAACTACTTATAAACTAGAAAGTTAACTTATTAGCCAAACTATACATACTCATTTGTATAAACAACTTATGATGATGGAGAAAGGAAATATTAATAGATATTTAAGCATAATGCAGGCTGACAAAACATTATTTCTTAAATAAGGAAAAAACCATGGGTGAAGATACAGGCTGCAGAATATAGAACATACAGCTGGGCAGGTCCCACTGACAGCTGAGGAAGCACAGAACCCAACCTTCCCAGCCCCACCTAGACTCATCGTTGTGGCGACAGCCACAGCCACACTCTTAGGCATCATCTATGGCTGTCTTCTCCATACAATGGCAAAGTGGAGTAATGATGGCCTGCAAAGCCTAAAATACTGGCCTTTTAGAGAGCAAGTGTGCCCATACCTGGGCTAGATAATAACAAAGAGTGGGAACATCTTGTCGAGGTGGAACAGTTCCATCCTGACACACTATGAGAAGCTCTTATTTGTCTGTTCATCTGCCCTCCACAGATCCTCCCATTTTGTTATTCTTTGGATATGCAGAAATTTAAGTTATAAGCAAAATCCTTTTCAACAAATAAGTCCTTGCCCTTCCTCTTGGTCCAGACGTAGTCTTGCCATAAAATGATCTCATAAAGAAAATTATTAGAAAATCTTAATTACATTTCTTATGCATTCAATTCAAACCCAGTTTACACAAAAACTGAAAAGTCAGAAAGGCTTGAAGACAGATTGTAAAACAGACTCTAATACCTTGGAACTGTATTTTTTCCTCCCATCATTAAAGAGGGAAATCAGTGAGGTATTCCATTTTGTTTACAAAGTAATTGAATGCTGTATTACTATAAATGCTAAACTACAGACAAGAGTGAACTGAGGAAAAATCATGGATTGAAAAGAATCTTAATCTAGATAATTCAGTTATTGGAGTCATTAATTTAGTTTTGCTTTAAGGCAAAGAAAAAAACACTTAACCAGAAACTTCCAAGAAGAAGAGCTTCATTTAAAGTAGTTACCAAGAAAGAAAACTGAATGAACAAAAGCTAACTAGAAATAAATGGCTATTTAATAAAGGCTTTTGGATGGACATGGTGACTCAGGCCTGTAATCTCAGCACTTTGAGAGGCCAAGGCGGGGGGATCACATGAGGCCAGGAGTTTGAGACAAGCCTGGCTAACTTGGTAAAACCCCATCTGTACTAAAAATACAAAAATTAGCCAGGTGTGGTGGTACACGTCTGTAGTCCTAGCTACTCGAGAGGCTAAGGTAGGAGAACTGCCTGAACCCAGGAGGCAGAGGCTGCAGGGAGCCAAGATCCAGCCATTGCACCCCAGCCTGGGCAACAGAGCAAGACTCTGTCTAAAAAGAAAAAAAAAAAGAAAACAAATAAAGACTCTCATTCCTCATTAGTTTTAAAATTAGAATTCAAAGTGGCCATCTTAGTTCAAAACTGTAAAAAGAGATTCTATGTCACAAAATAAAAATATCTAAAAGGTACATTTTGAGCCTTGAAAAGGAAACCAAGGATCCCTGTGATAGCAAGCTTCATACAAATCAACATAAACTTTTTGTAAGATTCCGAAAAGCTTTATGAAGTGTAAATGTTCACATTTGCTGAATTAGATTGCTGTGTATTAACAGAAACCCGGGATGCACACTGATGTTCTGGTCCCTTAACACGTGGCCCTCTTCCTCCAACATCTACCTATGTCTTTGCTCGTGCTGGCTCCTGTGCAACTGCCCTCCCCAGGGCCTCTGCTCTTGGTTCATCCTCTGTCATTTCTGGTTCAAAGTCATCTTCTAACAACACTGCTCCTCCCAACAGTCTGTCTCTTCACACAGCACCCTCCAGTGGAGTCCCTGGAATCAGGGACATGCACTGACATGTCCCAGGATCACCCTTCTGTTCTCATGGCACTTACCATGCTCCTCCTCAGCCCTTGCAGAACCAAGTTAGAGACACCTTTCAAAATCCAGGTCAAATATTAGTTCCTGCTTCTGAGTTTTCATAGCCCATGAATGACTGGCCTTTTATGGCACTTGTCACTTTCTATCTTGATTTTCATGTTTGTATACATGGCTTTTCTCTCCCTGATCCTGCATAAATTTGAGGGGAGCAGTCTGTATCTGTGCCTACGACAGAAATGTTTATTGTGACTACAATCAATAATGGCATTAGATACCATTTATTGAATGCCTACTCTGCTAAGCATATGCTTTATACACTTATCTCTAATATTTTCACAACCACCATCTCTCTTGCAAAACAGATGAGAGACCCAAGGCTCCAAAAGTTAAATAACTTGGCCAAATTTGTGAGTGGTATGTAGCAACTCCAGGACTCAAATCCAGATGTGATGAACTTACAGAACCTGGAACATTCCACTGAGCTGTCTCCTTTCTCACACCCATATCCCCAGCCTTGTGCTTTATAAATAGTAGGTGCTTAATGGACACTGGTTTTGGTCACCTTAGCTAAAAGGTGACCAAATTCTCTGCTGTATTCTTACTGCAAAGAATACAAATGTTTTTGTGGTCCCCAGGTTCCCACTATCAATTCTCTGCATAGAAGCCATTAGAAAACGCTTGCTGATGAAGTACACTGACCACCAAAATACATTCTATGTAAAAGGCTGCTAATAAATGGCACAATTATCTAAATTGAAGCTTTTAAGTGAAAATTCCTAAGAACATATGATGTCCCAAACCCAGTAAGTAGGACCCAGTGAGCCATCCAAGGCCCCCAATGGCAGAGCGATGCCTATACCTCCCCTTCAACCCACATCATTTCACAAATCCTAGCTTAACAGTCCTCTACCTCACATTTAAAGAATCCTTCTATAGTTTCTTTGGTATAACTTTATAGCAACATTTTTCAGGCCTCTTCAGGATGATGCAGGGTGAAAAGAAAAAGACAAATTTATAATTATAAAGTTATAACACATCAGGAGTTAGAGAAGTGCTTTACATATTATCATTTAACCTTCAAGATAGTCCTATTACAGAGATACTAGTACTTCCATCATGTAAGTAAAGAAACTGAGGGTCAAAGGTTAAAGCTTAACTAAGAAAATATATGAAAGAATAAGAATGCAAACATGGATGTTGCTGACTTAGATTGTGTGGCTACACTGTAAACACTACCTCTCTCAAAGGCCTTCTCTCTGTGTGATGATCACAACACTTAGAGAATCCCACCTCGTTCTGGAAAGCAAGTCCCCTCCCAGCTATGGCAACCCCCAACCTGACTGTTAGACTTGCCTGAGCTGGGGACAGCTTGATGCGGATGCTGACAGACAACCCCGCAATACTACAGTTCACCGTCTAAGGATCTTCTGTTCTCTGCTCACATAAAAAGGTCAAGTTTGGATCTCCAATACAGACTCTAACTTTATGGACTGCTGTCTTGTCTCCAGTGGTTTTCTAGCCCAGCCTGGCTTGCATGTTCAGATGTTACAACTGGCCAAGATGACCATACTCTCTGCACTCCAGGCTCAGCTTCATTCTGTGATCACAGTCCCCTATACTGGCTTTTACCTATGACACCAGGTGGCCAATTCTCACTAGGCCTGATCCACTGGGACCCCTCTTAATCCACAGCAATCCCAGTGCCCTAGGAATAATCCTCAGGCATTTCAGCAGCGAGACTGAGGTACCAAATGAAGTGACAACTAAAACCAATCTTACACATTCATCAAAGGCATTCTTCATAAACTCGAGCCAGGTCTCTGTCATGACTTTTCACAATTTGCAACTGTTTTTCTATTAATTAGTATAAATTTTTGAAGCTTTATAGTAAATCAACAAATAGGTTAAAAAAAAAAGGCACTGTATGGGAAATGCAGAATACTAAACCTTTTCACTGGTATTGATGTCATCTATTCCCACAGAAAGGTCTTCTTCAATCTCTTCACCAATACTTATCTCACTTTTCTCTGAGCGGTGGCTGGTACTAATTTTAGGAGGCGGGGAAAAAGTAAGAACTCTGAGAATAAACATTTCAAGAGATTAATTACCATTCTTTAAACATTCAGATATTTCTTTTAATCCTTTAAGTAAAATATAATATTAACTATAATTAATTTCATATATATTGTCTCACTTGACCCTTAAAATAACATAGGAAGGGGCAGCAGCAGTCAAGTCAATGTAAAAGATGAGGAGATGAAGGTTTAAGTGGGGACTTTAGTGACAAGAACAAGAAAGAAACAAAGCCAGATTTTTACAATTTCATCTACTACATCATTCTCTCTCTCAAAAACTGTATACTACATTATAAAAAATAAATACAGACTTCCAGTTGGAAAGATAACCTGTCAATTAAATAAAATTCTCAGGCATCTAATTTAAAATTTCAAATCACATCCACAACAAACATTACTTGTACATTACTAGCCAACACACATATACATATTATCTTTCTATATATAAGAAAGGCATTGACTGGGCACAGTGGCTCTCACCTGCAATCCCAGCACTTGGGAGGCCCAGGTGGGTGGATCACTTGAGGTCAGGAGTTCAAGACCAGCCTGGCCAATATGGTGAAACCCTGTCTCTACTAAAAATATAAAAATCAGCCAAACGTAGTGGCACACACCTATAATCCCAGCTACATGGGAGTCTGAGGCAAGAGAATCACTTGAACCCGGGAGGTGGTTGCAGTAAGCCGAGAATGCACCACTGCACTCCAGCCTAGGTGACAGAGGGAGACTCTCTCTTAAAGAAAAAAAAAGAATGGGAATCTCACTAGGTCAGACCACATATCAGGAAATGTAATCTGAATCCAAAAACTAATTTGAGAGCATAATTATTTTAAGTCAAATGGAGACAATTCCCACCACAAAAAGGTATGGAAGGAAGAAAAAATAAGCACTTATGACATGACAACTGAACTGCTTCTAAATGACTTCTCAGTTAATTTTTCAATGTTTCTTTTCATCTTATTCTTACCAAGTTTCCTGAACATAATGTGACTGACTATATTCTAACGTAAAATCAAAAACATCCTCCAAAGTCAAATATTTGATTTTGGATTAACTATCTTTTCTTCACCTCCAATCAGTATGAACAACAGAATCAAATACACCAAAATAAACACCAAGTGTAATTTTGTCTTGTCTGTGTTCGGAAATTGTTTACAAATATATATACATTTATATATTTGCCCAAAAGTTTTTCTTACCTGTTAAAATCATCAACATAGTCATCGTCTTCTCCAGTCCCTGATAAGTTTAAGAAAACATATGTTATTATCTAACACACATCACGACTTATTTACAATTGAACACACATTTCCTTAAAAAAAGTTAATCATATTGCATCATTAAAAAATTTCCAAAGATCAGAAATAACATTTTTACCAGATATAATATGAAGGCAAATGATAACATGAAATATCTAAGAAATAATAAACTGTTACAAGTGACTATAAAATGTGGGTAACACCTCACCTTTATTCCAGGTACTCTAAGGCGATTAACACGGGACACACTTGTTAATAAGGTCCCTTGACTTAATGGCACATAGCAAGTCATCATGAACCCCCTCTAGGTACTAGAGGAACTACTGAGAGTTTCAACATGCGAATTGCTTTTTTACAAAAGTTAAAAATGCTCATGAAGTGCGAGCAAGTAACAGCACCTTCAGTCAGACAGAGCTGGGTTCAGGCCTCGGACCTGCCACTAAACATCTCTGCGACCTGGGAACATGAGGTGCCCTTTCCTGGCCATGTCCTCTGCTCTGACAAATGGCCAAACGCACGCAAATCCGAGTTAACACAAGGATTCAGGTACATGATGTGCCTAACAGAGACTTTGGTCCACAGTAAGATCTTAATAAATGGCAACTCAATGAAGGAGGGATGACGATTAGTGAGGCAGTGTTACCAGTTGCTCAAAGTGTACCATGAACCTCTGACAGAGTAGGCACCTTCAGATCAACTTAAGGCTATAAATGACAAATTTGCAAATCAGCAGCCCTTCCCTCCCAGGACTCCTGAGGGCTGGATAAGGAAAAAGGGCTGTCAGTGTCCAAACAGACTTGGAGGCACATGAGAGTCGACTTAAAATGTGAATAGATGGCCTATGAAAGACAAGGATTATGTACCACCACATGCAGAAGATGCGGATCATGAAGAGAAGACCTGGCATGATAGAAAGCTGTTCAAAGGCTCTGAAATCTCCCTTAAATAAGGCTAGACTGTCCCTAAATCTGTCAGACTGCTGAGGGGATTCAAGTTCTGTCCAGACAGACAAGGCAAATCCTGTGATTAATTTATAAAGCAGGTGAGTGATGACTAGGTCCCCTAGAGGTATAGCAATTACTAAGATGATATCTCTGATCTCAAGGAGCAAATGCTCTAGTGAAGAGAAACGGTGACACAAACTAAATACTGCTAGTGCAATTGGGAAGAATTCCAAGGTAGCAACTGAGAGGAAACCTAGGTTGCAGAGGTACAAATTATTGGGGACTGTGTGTTCCAAGAAGAGGAAACATGTGGAAAGCCCTGAGGTAGGGGAGGGTGTGGTGGTTTGAAAACCCACCAGTGCAGCCCAGAGCAGTGACACACATCTGTAATCCAGCTACTTGGGAGGTCAAGGCAGGAGGATCACTTGCACCCAAGAGTTTGAGACCAGCCTGGGCAACACTGTAAGACTCCCCTAAAATTAATTTTTTTATTTTTGTAATTTTTAATTTTTAAATTTTAAAAATACCATCTCAAAAATATAAATAAATCAAACCACCAGCAAGGACGCCATACAACCATAAAACAATGAATTTGGGGGACTGAATGGGTGGAGAGAGAAAAAAGGAGTGGCCATCAGAGGAGCTGGCAGAAGCCAGATCATTAGGGCTTGGTTGGTGGCAATAAGAATCTTAGCCTGAATACAGAGGGAAGCTCATCTGGGGTGGGTTAGGGGAAGACAAGAGTGAAAAAGTCCAGGGAAGCACTATCTCATTTCTGTTTTCCCAGAGATAATCTCACCACCGCCAGAAATGTGTTTACAGGAGGCAAGAATCAAAGTAAGGAAAGAAGGCTGTCAGAAAGTCCAGGCCAGCCATAACAGGGGTAAAGGGTTTGGGTCAAGACAGGTGTCCTACAGATAAGACAGACAGGTAGATGATACTGGGTAGGGAGAATATCAGCAAATGAAGAAAACATGAATCCTTGTTACTGGTACACCCAAACCTTGCCCGTAATGAATCGGAAATCCCTGACCATAAGCAGTCAGGAGTCATTCCCAGGTTCCCCTCCTCTCGAGAATAAAGAGCCTGTCTCCACTGTAGCCTCATAGGTTAAAGGGCTGCACATGCTTGACAGAAAGCAGGCACTGTCAGGGCCGAGAAGGAGAGGTAGAAATCTGATTAAACAAACCACCACGTAGGTGGCTGGTTTGCAAGTGCTACATAAAACCAGCAGTGGCAGCTACTGAAACGTCAGCCTCCAAGGACTTATCGTGGTGTTACTATGTGTGAACGCCAGTGAGGAGAGCAGACATGGAAAGTGAGCTAAGACAGTGAGGACAGCTATGGCTGCAATGTGGATTTAGAGGAAGCTAACTGTATTCCCCACCTTCCAGCATTTGTAGCCAACAAAAAACACAAGATGTTTACTGTATAATGTGCTATAACACATTAGATTCTGACTTCTTACGTACTGTACAGTATTACAATAGTTTAAGCCGGTGTCCAAACAATTAACAGAATATATATAGGTTGAGCATCCCAAATTCAAAAATTTGAAATCCAAACTTGAATGAAATCCAAAACTTCTTCAGTGCCAACATGATGCTCAAAGAAACTGTTCATTGGAACATTTTGGATTTTCAGATTTTTGGATTTGGAGCGCTCATCTGGTAAGAATAATGCAAACGTTTCAAAATCCAAAAAAATCCAGACTCTGAAACACGACTGGTCCCAAGCATTTGCATCAAGGGATACTCAATCTGTACGACATTACTTTAAGGGTCGGCAAATTTTGGCCCTCAGGCCAAGGATTCTTGTTTTCTTCATTTTTTGACAGTCTCTCCTCCCCATCCCATACCCTCTGCCTTATCTGCCCTTACCCCAGTCAGCTTTGGCCCGGGCTTCCCAACAGCCTTATGCTTTCCTTACTTTCATTCTTGCCTCTGGCTGATGACCTGCTTTTGTTCAGCCTGTGAATTAAGAATGGCTTCTACATTTTTAAAGATTGTTAAAAAAGCAAAGACTATGTGAGAGACAGTACATGTCATCCGCAAAGCCCAAAATATAGACTATTTAGCCCTTTACAGAAAAGGCTTATCAACTCTTGCTTCAAATATGCAAAGTACCTATTTATTTTATTTTTGAGACGAAGTCTTGCTCTGTCGCTCAGGCTGGAGTGCAGTGGCGTGATCTTCCTGAGTTCAAGTGACTCTCCTACCTCAGCCTCCCGAGTAGCCAGGATTACAGGCGTGTGCCACCACACCCTGCTAATTTTTTTTCTTTTTAGTAGACACGGGTGTCACCGTGTTAGCCAGGATGGTCTAGATCTCCTGACCTCATGATCCGCCTGCCTCGGCCTCCCACAGTGCTGGGATTACAGACATGAGCCACCATGCCTGGCTGCAAAGTACCTATTTATAAACACTCCATTTAGGCACCTTTAATTAATATTTGTCTGCCAAACTAAAACAGACTGTGCTCTAAAGCTTTATTTGTAGATGATTTCTTTGGAACTCAAAGTATTTTCCCATTGAAATGATTATTTAAATCCTGTCTAAGTAACATACAGACAGTAAAATACAGTGGTAAGGGCTCCGTGGTGATGCATCAGGACTCTAAAAGCAGCATGACCTTGGGCAAGTTATTTAACCTAGGTTCTTCAACTGTAGAACTGGAGATAATAATAAAACCCACCTCATAGGATATGAATTAAATAAAATAATTCCTTGGTACAGTGTCAGCCATTTATCATTAACATCATTATTATCCTAGGGTAGTCTACTAACATCTGTCTATATATTACTCAAAACACCTAGAGGACTGTATATTTAAAATGCAAAAAACCCAAACAGAAAACAACATTGCTGCAATACCATTAAACATTCGACAAAACAAAATAAAACTTTATTTCTACTGAATCCTAATGCCTAGCTAAATGACAAACATTCAGCTAGTAAACTGGTAGTTCTCACCTGCGTAACTATCCAAATTCTAACCCAAAGTATAGCTAAGTCCCAAGAAAAAGTGAAGTGAAGGAGCACACCACCTTCCTGCCCGTACCCAGCAACTCTGCAGCGAGAGCGATCACCTTCCCTCCTAAGAATGAGAATTCTCAGCAGCTTCCTCTCAGAAGCTGGTGGAAAAACCTTTACTTTGTTAAGAGAATAGAGCAGTCACAGTGAAAGGCTCAAAGGTTTGGCAACAAAGCAAAACACCACAAAAGTGAAAAAAAAACAGAACACGAAGGGGACAGTCAGCCATCACAGTGCAGAGGTTGGGAGTAAAGTCTCTGGTGGCAGTTAGCCACTGAGGTCAAGTGGAAAAGAACATCTAATGGCAACCAGAACTACCGCTGACAGGAAAAGAGCAAGGGAAGGAGAGGGGGCAGGCCCACCTAGCTGGCCAGCCAGCAACCAGGACACACAAAGAGCACAGGGTGGCATAAACAGCAAGTCAGCTGTTACCAGGACTCCAGGGCACTGTGTGGAACAAGAATCCAGGCCGCTCAGGCGACATTTATTCTTCTGCAAATGGGGGAACAAAGTAACATAAAAAGGAAACTAACATTTATTAGGCACCTACCATGCCAGGCACTGTACCTTAATTTACACATGAAAAGGTATTTAAATCCTATTTGCTCTTTGAAACCAGGCAGACGTTATTAGTTCCACTTAACAGATGAGGAAATAGCAGTTTAGTTTATCTCCCTACGCTACCCCATCAATCAGTGCCACATCTGAGACATTACTTCTATCCAACTCCAAGCCCAAGTTCTTCGCACTATCCAGAATGTCTCTCGTGAAGAGAGAAGGGCATTCTCGGTGCTGCCCCTCAGACAGGCCTGGGTTCTAAAAGTACATGGGGACACAGCTTTCTTTTTTCCCCAACCTGCTTGGGTAGCTGTGTTCCAATGCTTCCATGTCTAAGTGACTACAGTCCAGGAAGCGATCCCACCACATCCACAGAGAGCATAGGAAGTGGCCACTGGAACCTGGCTACACCATTTCCTTCAGGTCAGTACCTGAATTTGCCAAAAGTATGCCTGTCACGCTGCTACAGTCTTGCAACAGAATAGAGCACTGTTTGAGAACTGTGCTCTCAATGTATGGCCCAGGGCTTGGTAATGTTCACACTGACACTCTTACCTCCATAAGAACAAATGTACTTACATGGCAGTCTCACCAACTTCTGCTGCATTGAACAGAACTGAACACATCTCACAATTTTTCTTTCAATAAGTCTGTTTCTCCATTAGACTGAATTCTCTGAGGCCTGGACCATGTACTACCAGCATCTAGCAAATGGCTCTGCCTCTGCACAAGTTTTTCTCAGTCTGAAATTGAATAGAAATATCTTCTCTTCTCTCTTATACATCTACTTAACCATCAAGCCTCTGCACAGACATCACTTCCTCTAAGAGGTCTTCCCTGAATGCCAAGACTGGGCCAAGGTAACCTACTTGCCATTTCTATACCCATATATACTGACCCTTTTACACTCAAAATATCTGTAGATGCCTGTTTAATGTCCATATTCCTGACCAGAATTTAAACTCTATGAAGACAGAGGTTCACGAGGACATGATGGCTGCTGCTGGGGTCATCTCTGGCATAGGGTGTAATCCTGAACATATGAAAGCCACCCAAACACCTGCTGAATGAACAGCAGCAGGAAGGTGCTCAGTGGAGGCAGATTGAGTAACTTCTTTTACAACCTTACCTTAAAAATAATCACTTTAAAACAATCAACACAAAAAAACTGGAAATCTAGTTACCTAATCCAAGGGATCCAATTTTATCACTGATCAATTTCAGATCTTTCAAAACTATATTCCCCCTTTTACCTGTGAACAGGAGAAAATATTATTAGAGTGACTTTTAGAATACAACAGTCTCTAAACCATATTAATTTTTGTTGTTATTCAATATGGCGCTTCTTTATGACAGGAGCATAATAACCTAAAACCAAGGAAAAAATAAACTATGATTAATGAATGCTTAAATTATGCATTATAACTCCTTTGAGACGGTATCTTGCTCTGTCACCCAGGCTGAAGTGCAATGGTGCGGTCTCAGCTCACTGCAACCTCTGCCTCCCAGATTCAAGCAATTCTCCCACCTCAGCCTCTCGAGTAGCTGGGATTACAGCCGTGTGTCACCACACCTGGCTAATTTTTGTATTTTTAGTAAAGACTATGTTGGCCAGGCTGGTCTCAAACTGCTGACCTTGTGATCCATCCGCCTTGGCTCCCAAAGTGCTGGGATTACAAGCATGAGCCACCATGCCCGGCCACAACCCTTTTTAAACCATAAACAATACTACTTTATTGGAATACAACCACCAAAAAAATGTTTTTGCCTAATTATAAGACATCACTTTCCATAAGAAGCCCCATTAGGTATGAATTCATAGACTACAGTTAATTATTTTCATCAATTTTATTTTCCCTTTGAACTTCTAAATTTTTCTTCAATTCAACTGCTATTTCATATACTAAAGTGACATCCTCACTGGTTAGTCCTTCATTCTTAAGGTCCTCTAAATCGTCATTCTCTAATCAGTGTCAGAATTGGCATGTTCATGATGTCCTTCCTGTATTTCTTTCTTAAGGGTGACAGTAACCACGGGAAAGAAGCAAATGGGAAGGGATGCAGACCTAGAAACACAGGGCTGGTTTACCAGATGTTATGAGAATCAACGGGCCAGCTCTCTTATGTACCCCAGAAAGTCCCACAGTATATCAAGTACTACAAAAAGATTCGGAAGTACTGGACAATTATGCAAAACTCATACTGCAAATTCTTAGTGACTCTACGTTAGGAAACTTTATCAAAAGAGGTACACAAGTTCTGAAACACTGTGCTAAATAAATCCAACATATACCATCATATGGTTTACAAGGGACCTCTGCCCATCCAACGTGTTCAGGGCTATGCTTTTAAAATTCCTATCACTGTGTGTGGAGAGATGTGGGAAAGTAATTGGTACAGGAGCTAGACTATTCCATGTCTAACCAATGCTCTTTATCTCTGCTGCCTTTAAGCTGACATGTCAGATCATTCTGCTTGAAAATGATATGCAAAATAATTTTTTATTTAATATTTTATGATACTGTGGTATCACCGAACAAATTTGTTTAAAAATTAATTTAAAGTAAATCCAACTCAAGCCACTGTTAATGTCCAAAAAAGGAGAGATAATATAAAAATTATATTTATATAGACACTAAAAATCAGCTAAAAACTCAACTTCCCAAAAGTATTCCAATGGTATAGTGAAGGTATAGGAAGAAGCCGAATACAAAACAACATATAAAATATGACATTAAAAACAAAATACAACAAAGTATTAACAAGAAGTATCTCTGAGTGATAAAATTATAGGTTATTTTAGTGATTTTCCTGGAAAAAAATCAACACTAATCATACGGTGCTTCATTAGAGAAAAAATATCCTGAATAATCACACCCACATCTTTGGGCACTTACTCTCAGAGTCTTTTAAGGAAGGGGCCCCCGCCAGGGAGCTGAGTCCACTTTTTAAGGGGGGTGCATCCGACAGCGAGGCCAGGCTTCCTGCCTGCTTCCTTGGTTCATTCCTCCTAGCAGGAAACAAGTGACAGTTAAACAGTGCTCTGATGTTCTGCCACTAAACGCTTTTATTCTGCCATTAAAACAAAAGCAACTTAAATATATTTTATATGCACAGTTGCTGGAAATCAAGAATACACACTTTACAGATTCAAAACCATAAAGTATACCAAGGATATAGCAGGTATACCAAACTTTATGGTTTACCAAAAGTATACCAAACTACAGATCAACCACAATCAACACAGCCAGTGTGTAGGCAATCAGCTCATCTCTCTTTAGAATCCTCTTCACTGTGATTTTTTTCAAAAGCCCTTTTCCATCACCCAGACATGCAGCCAAGGGACAATACAGGAGTTTACTAGCAAATAAGTGCCACCTCTCCGATTAAATATCATTTACAGAAGCCACAAACCGCCATGCTGATGAAATCCCCTTAAAGTCATGACTACTAACCTCAAGAGGACCTTTAATTCTGCCCAATAACCCTGTGGGTTTCCAGTCTCTTCTTGCCTTACTTTCTTATAGAATGATTTCACACTTTCTCCACTCTCCTCCAAACTCTAACCTCCATCCTGCATCCTCACTCAACTATGAAGTCAGATGAGAGCCTGCACAGGTGCTACCATCATATCCACCCCCTGCCTGCAACGGGACCCACACACTCTACTTTTCTAGCAAACACAAGCCCCTACATGGGATTCCATTGCTGCACAGCCCTCCATGAGTTCTTCTCTTACTCCCTTACATCATTAATTCTTCCACCTTTAAAGCTGAACAGCTCTCGTCAGCATACATGCTGTTATTTCTCCCACTTAAAGACGTTTTCAACCCTACATCCTGCCCCTCCAGCCACAACCCTGGTCCTCTGTATGCTTTTACAACTCATCAGAAAACTATTTGCCATCTACAATCCCTTCCTCTCTGTGTTGAAGGGACTCTAATTTTTTAACCTGCCTCGCACCTTCATTCCAACAAAACTAACTGTGTCAAGGTCATCACCGACCTCCAGATGGCTAAATCCAATGGCTTCATACAGCTACTCTTCCCTACTGCCTCCTCCAAAGACACCACTTTCCTGGTTCCGTGTCCTCTGGACTCAAGGTGCACAGGACCTGCTTCCTTGGTGATCCTCTGCAGTCTCCCACACCCCACATTATCTACAAACTGATGACTCCTAATTTACATCTCCAGCCTAGATCTCTCCATCAATCCCAATTCATATACCCAACAGCCTTCTTTGGATTTCCACCAGCAATCTTCTCTAACTCAGCACAGCGACAGGGAGTGCCAGGCTGTCATGCCACCTGTCTGTGCATCTGCTCTTGCTCTTTCCATTCTTTATCTAAAGTGTTTCCAACCTTCGAGTTATGGAGGCTAAAAACCATGGTGTCACTCTGGCTATTACTTTTTTCTCTAGCACTTACTGGCAAATCCTTTCCCATATAAGCTCAAAATACTTCCAAAACCCACCTATTTCTCCCACTGCTTCTATCACTTCTCACCCGAATAATCATTAACGGCCTCCTACCTGGAAACCCCAAGTCCAACCTTGCCTAGCAACCTCAGGTTCTGTAATGTATGCTAGATCAAGATCCCCAGGGTTTCCAGTCTTAAAGGAAAGCCGTCCAGCCCCTCATCTCTGAGTCCACCTCATCCGATCCCGGTCTCGCTCTCTCTGCTACACCCACACTCACCTCCCTGCTGTCTGCTGTTTCCTCTGCCCAGAGCTCTATCAACCCATGGCAACTCCCTTAACTCCTCTAGCTCTTTGCTCACAGGGCACCTCCAAGTGAGGCCCCCTCCAATTTGGACAGCTGACACGCACCTGCCCTGACCACATACTTGGGCTCCCACCATTGCTCTGCTCTCGTCACCCCACACACCACAGCGTAACTCTCACTGCTTGTCTCACTCCATCACCAGAGCATGAGCTTCCTGAGGGCAGGCGTCTTCCCTCTTCCATCATTGCTACAGCCCACCCTGGAACAGTCCCTGGCATGTGGCAGACACTCAATCTAACAGGTAAGAATAAATCTAAGTTTTTATAAAACCTGAGATTGTTTTATAACATGAAAGGCATTAACAACACATAATCGGATTTATGGATCCAATAATTATAAACCACCCATAGTTCATTATTTTTTAACTATAAAATGAAAGCATTTATCTTACTTTTAAACCCCTAGTCTCATAGTTCAAAAACCATTTACTCACAAACCATAAGTTTTCTCTGGCTTAGGAATGGGATCATCAAAGAAAGAATCTCCTTCCATATCATCTTCATCTGGACAAAGGCCGGCTTTGTCTTTGCCATCTAAAGTTTTGTTGCTTAGAAAAGATCCAATTTTTGTTTCATGGGACAGTAAGTGAAGGCTGCTTTTGCTCTTTGGTTCTGACAAGGAGACACTTGTATCACTCTGACTGGCCTCACTGTTGGCCTTCTAGAAAGAGAGGGAAAGAGAAAAGGTCTCCTTGATATTTTAAATAATAAAAGAAGCCTTGTGAGCATAAGCAAACTTGTGTTTGTGGGTGGCGGGGTAGGAAGGGTGAGGGGCAGCTCCCAGCAGCATGAACTGCAGAGCAATGCCACAATTCATCACTCCAGCCCCAGGATTCCTAGCATGGCAAACTTTCAAAGGGGGAAAAATTTTTTTTTAATATATTAATACCATTCCTGTCCTCTTTCCCTAAATGTTAATACCTTTAATATACCCCTCCCATTTATAAACACTTTCCCTTTTATAAACAATTTCCCATCTTCCCCTCTATGTATCATTGCTTCATAAATTTTCTTAAATTAATACAGTATCAACTTGAAAACAACTATTAAAGAGAAAAGAAAAATTATTTCACATGAATGAACCACGCGTTAAAGTAGTCATCAGTAAAAACAGCAATTTTCCATCCCGTGCTAAACACAACAGACATCAAGGTGAAAGACGCTGTCTTCAACCACTTGTGTTTCTAACATAAACATTTGCTAATGAAAATAATTATTTTAATTCTGACTTCCAGGGTAACTTCCTAACCTATACCTCATTTTGATGTCCATGGACAGGGGGTGGGGTGTGTGTGTGTGTGTAGTTCTCCGTGTATTTTAACACCAATGTTGTAAAAAATTCTTAATCATCCTTATCCATTCCCTTGGATATATAGTGATGTTAGCACAAAATATCACACTTTTATTTTCTTGTTTTCAGTTAGTCCTAACCTTCACAGCCTACTTTTACTCCATTCTTGGTCAGATTTCTTTCTGCCCTTAGGTACATATTAACAATAATAATGAAAACAAAAAATAATGCTAGTAATAATAAAAGCAGCTAACATTTATCGAGAACATTCAAATGTTTCACCTTATCTCATTTAATCTTCAAAATGACCCTATGATCTGGAAGTAGCTTTATCTCTGTGGATATAAATAAGGAAACACAGAGACAGACATCTATGTCACTTGTCAAAGTCTCCAGGTATTAAGTGGTAGGGTCAATATCAAAGTCAAAGCCTGATTCCAGACGTTAACTCTATACTTATGCTATTAGGCTAAATTATAATTGATTTGTGGGCTTTATGGGTTAAAGACGGCAATTTCCCAAAATTAAAGCCTTCTGTACTAGAGAGCAATATTGTGTAAAAATACCTGTGGAGTACCAGAAAAAGCATTCAACTCAAACAAGGAATCTGGAATGTAGTTCAAAATTATTAATTGCACTTTTTTTTTTTCTTTTTCTTTCTTTTTTTTCTTTTTTAAGAAACAGGGTCTCAATATGTCATCGAGGCTGGTCTTAAAACTCCTGGGCTCAAGCAATCCTCCTGATTCAGTCTCCTAAGTAGCTGGGATTACAGGCACAAACCAAACCCAGCTGTATAACATTTTTTTTTTTTGATGGAGTCTCGCTCTGTCGCCCAGGCTGGAGTACAGTGGTGTGATCTCGGCTCACGACAACCCCTGCCTCCTGGGTTTAAGTGATTCTCCTCCTCAGCCTCCCAAGTAGCTGGGATTACAGGCACATGCCACCATGCCCAGCTAATTTTTGTATGTTTAGTAGAAATGGAGTTTCACTATGTTGGCCAGGCTGGTCTCTGAACTCCTGACCTCAAGCAATCCACCCACCTTGGCCTCCCAAAGTGCTGGGATTACAGACATAAACCACCATGCCCAGCCCGTATAATCTTAAGTAAATTAATTTCCTAGGCATGAGTTTCCTCAAGAATTGAACTAGTTTCGTTTTCTTCAGATCAAATTATATCTAGGAGTTAAGACAGTGGGGATGGATGGCAAAGAATAGTAACTACTGAAGCATGGTGACCAAAGTCTGGGTTAGACATTACCAAATAAGATGCTCTTGAAGGATGGTTTCACTTTTAATATGTGTACAGGCAGGGCAAGGTGGCTCACGCCTATAATCCCAGCACTTTGGGAGGCTGAGGCGGGCAGATCACAAAATCAGTTTGAGAGCAGCCTGGCCAACAGAGTGAAACCCCATCTCTACTAAAAATACAAAAATTAGCTGGGTATGGTGGTGGATGCCTGTAATCCCAGCTACTTGGGAGTCTGAGGCAAGAGAATCACTTGAACCTGGAGGCAGAGGTTGCAATGAGCCGAGGTCATGCCATTGCATTACAGTCTGGGCGACAGTGCGAGACTCCATCTCAAAAAAAAAAAAAAAAAACATAGAATGCATTATGCATGTCTTATATGTTTGTTTACATTTTTATACCAGGTAGAGGCCTTGACTAGTTGACAGTAGGCAAGATATATGCGATACAAATTTTATTGCCTTCTAGGGAGCTATACATTCTATGTTATTAATATAAATTAATGATTACAAAGAGATGTCTGAAAAAATAAATGCCAAGTTCTAATTTCAGACAGCATATTTTCCAAGAGGCAGAAAAATAAAAATTTCCTAACAACTTTGTCGATGTTTTCCTGGTATTATCAAATATACAAAAGTATTAAGTACTTTTGTATTTCTTAATTAGATTCACACCAGTTGTAATTTCTGATTTTTAAATGTTTTAATAATGGATTTATATCTTTTTAAATGAATATGCATTTGGAAATAAATACTCTGATGTGATATTTAAACACATTTACAATTACAGAGGCTGTGGTCATGACAGATTCTCTCCAGATTCTAAACACTCACAAGAAAGTGCCAAAGAGTAACTGTCATGAAAGAAACTGAAAAATGTAAATGTAAAGCAACATTATGAGAAACAATCATTATTCTAATAAAGTCTTCCTTTCCCGAGAATTCACATAGCCAACATAACTTAAATCTGAGCAACTAATATGTAACCATGACTGTTTTTTGACAGGTTTTAACAATATCCCTGCTATGGACAGAAAGACCAGTTTTAGGAACACAAGTTTTATGAAGAAGGGCATTATTATATTACACATCACATACTTGTAAGCATAACAGAATTATTTTGTTTTAAAAATATAGTTCTCTTAATCCATGGAGGAAAAATAAATTATGAAACAATCTGCTTTAGAACTGCTCTCAAAATCAACTTCTAAACCACACAGGAACATGTTGCTACTTTATAACTATGGCTCATTTTTGCCAAAAGACCATGACCCAACCTGGTTATTAATGAATTCACTAAACTTAATTCCAAATAAACTTCACTATTAAAAAAATCTACACTAGGAGGAGAAACATTTCTGCAGATTAAAGCAAAAGTACTGAAAGCTTTCAGAGCAGTTTCAATAGTTCCTCCATGTATACACGCAGATGAATGCATGCATACAGACGCTCAGCTCACAACAGCGCTTCACCTGGTAAACCCACCATCAAGTGAAAATATCACAAAGTTGAAAATGGGCACTTTGTATACATGATGAAGTGCAGAAACACAATATCCAAAAAATGCTGGCTACTCAGGCCCCTGGTATCAGAGTGCCTTGTGACCATGTGGCTGCCTGGGAGCTGTGGCTCGAGGTCACTGCCTGGCCCCGCGAGAGAATGGTACCACAGATTACTGTCCTAAGAAAACATCAAAACTCAAAGTATGGCATCTACTGAATGCAGATCCCTTTTGTACCATCATAAAGTCGAAAAAGCATAAATCAAACTGTTGTAACTTTGGGGACCATCCATATATGTGTGTACACCCAGGAATCTGCTTTAAAAACCCTTATCACGGCTTAAGATGAATTTATGTTACATATATAAACTTCAGTTACCTGGATTTTGTATCACCTGGATTTGGCTAAGTTGAAGTCAAGATTCAAAATGAAGGTAAATAATTAAGGTTAAGTATCGTTTAAAACTAAGAAGTATGATTTAAAAATAAAAGGCCAGGTGTGGTGGTTCATGCCTGTAATCCCAGCACTTTGGGAGGCTGAGGTGGGCAGATTACAAAGTCAAGAAATCAAGACCAACCTGGCCAACATGATAAAACCCCATCTCTACTAAAAATACAAAAAGAATTAGCTGGTAGTGGTGGTGCACACCTGTAGTTCCAGCTACTCAGGAGGCTGAGGCAGGAGAATCGCTTGAACCAGGGAGGCGGAGGCTACAGTGAGCTGCACTCCAGCCTGGAGAGAGAGCGAGACTCCATCTCAAAATAAATAAAAAAGATATACACTGGCCAGGCGGGGTGGCTCATGCCTGTAATACCAACACTTTGGGAGGCCCAGGTGGGTGGATCATGAGGTCAGGAGATTAAGACCATCCCAGCCAACATAGTGAAACCCCATCTCTACTAAAAATACAAAAATTAGCTGGGCATGGTGGCTCATGCCTGTAATCCCAGCTACTCAAGAGGCTGAGACAGGAGAATCCCCTGAACCTGGGAGTCGGAGGTTGCAGTGAACCAAGATCACACCACTGCACTCTAGCCTGGCAACAGAGCGAAACCCAATCTCAAAAAATACACACATACACGCCCCCCCCCCCCATGGCAATGCCTTAGAATTCATTCTCTGGACAAGCACAGAAGTTATGGGTTAAATTGTATCCCGCAAATGAAATATGTTGAAGCCCCTAATTCCCAGGACTTCACAGTGCCACCTTATTTGGAAACAGTATCACTGCAGACATACTTAGTTAAGACCAGCCCATTCAGGAGTAGGATGGGCCCGGGTGCTAACCCAATGACTGCTATCGTTGTTGGGGGAAGAGACACAGAGAAACACAGGGAGAAGCTCATGTGAAGACGGGAGGCAAAGACTGGAGTAATCCATCTCCTAGCCAAACAGCATCTGGGATTTCCAGCAGCCACCAGAAGCTAGAAAAGGAGCCACAGTCCTGCTGGCACCTTGATTTCACATTTTTAAGCCTCTAGAACTGTGACGATACATGTGTTGTTTTAAGCATGTTGGTACTTATATTACACCAGCCCTAGGAAACGAATCAAGTTATTCATAACAAAAAACTAAAACAAGTTTTGCCTTTTCATAAAAGTGAGGGTCGTATTGCACAGCACCACAACGGTCATTAGGCTCTCTCGGCTGGAGCTTGAGAGTAATAATAAACTCTATGGTAAATTATAGTACAGCTATAAGAAAGCTTTAGTATATATTTAATTATCCAATAATACACTCATACTCAAGAAGCCAATCATCTACAGATTAACAAAACATTAGCACTAGAAAAGTTTCACAGCAAAAAACCTTATTATGTCACCACTGGTAAGAACCTGAAAAAAAAAAAAGAACTTTTTCCAAACTGTTCACAGTAGGAGAAAAATCAACATCAAAGAAATACTATGGTTTTGCAAAAGTATTCAAAAAATTCATGCAATACAGTTGCCCCTCAGTACCCAGGACCCCTGCAGACACCAAAGTCTGAGGATACTCAAGTCCCTGATATAAAATGCTGTAGTATTTGCACATAGCCTACACACATCCTCCCATATGCTTTAAATCATCTCTAGATTACCTGTAATACCTAATACAATGTAATTCTATGTAAATAGTTGTATACCATATTTTGAAATTTATATATTTTTAACCATTTTCCATCTGGAGATGGTTGAATCTGCAGCTGTGAAACCAATGTTTGTGAAACCTGCCGATATGAGGACTGACTGTATTTCTCTTCCCCACCCATGCCTCTGCCCCCACCTCCTTCCCTACCAAAGACAGTTTCTGATCCATGACTAATGAATTTAGAGAAGTAATTTTATTACAGTTCTAACAGACATATATTTTGAAAGTCTAATTTGCTCACCAGGAAGAGTAAATACTGTCGAATTCCAGAACCACAAGAAAAACCTTTCTAAAAACTCAACTCTTTCTAGAGAAACTCTATCTTTTCCACCTATAAGCAATCTGTAATTCCTACAGATCACAATAGAACCTTCATCTTCTAGCTTTATGAGTAAGACTGAAAGAGGACCCTGTAAATAGATTTTCTACTCTACATCCTCAGCCTTCCCACCCTACCCAACCAGCACCTCATGGAGTTCAGCGAACAAGTGGTGCCAAGATGTCAAGGCTAGAATCCCAGATGGCTAGGATCATGGAGCTCAGCAGGCAGAAACGGAAGGGCTAAGTGCTGAAACATTCATGCAACCATGTATCCATTCATTCAGGTCGGTGTGCGAGTGTGACAGGGAATGTTAACGCCTGGTTTGGAAAATCTTGAGGTGACTGCCAAAGATACAAAAACATATGCCCCCAAACCCACAAGCAATGTGAAAAAGTATCTCAATGCATATTAGTTTTAAAACACCTGAAAACTGGGCTAGGCATGGTGGCTCGTGCCTGTAATTCTAGTACTTCAGGAGGCTGGGGCAGGAGGATCACTTGAGCCCAGCAGTTGAGGATCAGAATGGGCAACATAGCAAGACCCCCACCTCCACAAAAAACATTTTTTAAAAAATTAGGTATATGTGGTAGCATGCACCTATTGTCCTCACTACTCAAGAGGCTGAGGTGGACACTTGACCCCAGGAGGACAAGACTGTGGTGGGCCATGATCGTACCACTACACTCCAGCCTAGGCGACAGAGCAAGACCTTGTCTCTAAAAAGACACCTGAAAGGCACCTGAGAAAGGATGATCTTTCATACTACAGTTAATGTAATGATAAAGAACACCTAATTCTAAATACTAAAAACAAAAAAAGAATGTACTATCTTAGTCAACCTTTCCAACTAAACAGTAAAAAGCTAAGCTTGTAGGGTCTAACCAAAATCTATTATAATTATATTACATTTATTTGTTTTTTCAAACAATTAGAATGTTTGGTACAACAAAATGGTATGCAATGAAATAAATTATCACATATAATACTTTGGAAGTCAGCAAGTATGAGATACCTGCAAGGCGCTTAAAGTGTTACAGACGTTTTAAGAATTATTTAAGTTTTGTTGGGTTAAGACAGTTTTCAATGTACCATAAATGTTGTTTTTTCAGAAAAAGACAAAACGATGGTGCTGACTGGCTTTCTGTATATTGCACAACAGTCCTCAAATACATGAAACTATTAATACATCAAGCAGCGTTTTTTTCACTCTCCTTAGAATTGGAACTATGCAGTTAAGGTGGATAAAATGTACAGATGTTTCATATATTACAGGTTACATATATAAATCAAAATTTCCTATATAAAACTGATTTGGGATTTGGGGTGGAAATATTTTGAATATTAATTTATTTTTAAAGATGCAAGATACGACTTTGTGCAATGCATTTTTGTAAATGCTTTTCAAAATATCTGTCTGGTAGTGCTGCTTCTGCTGCCACCAAATTGATAAGATGCTATTAAGAGGTTTAAATAAAGAGTTTAAATTGTTAAAAAAAAAAAAAATGTACTTCAAAATTATTGAATCAATTTTAAAATGCCCTCCCACTTCATATTTATACTTCTTCTATATCAAACCTTTTGTCTTTAATCTTTATCTTTATTGTCTCTCAGCAACAACAAAAATAAGAACTTCAGTTTTGCCCAAGTTACATCAGTTCAAAAACCTTACAAATCAATTCTAACTATGTAGATGAATGATTTTAAGTTTATTCATAATATGAAAATAGCTTCCCTGAAGAAAGTGCCAAGGTCTCTGAATGAGCCACTAGTACTTTTCCCCTCCTGCATTCAAAAGCAACTGGACACATGCAACACTCCTGATCAGTGCTCCAGAGCTCCAGGACCAGCAGTAACCTGGGCCCTCCTGCATTGCATGCCCAGTTCATGTCTGCAGGGCAGGCGGGGCTCCCACAATGGCTTTGCACACCTTAGGAGATGCCACTCACCTACCATGTATGTGGATGGCTCCCTCTGGAGTCTTGCTGTGTACAACCTCAACCACCACATGCAACATAGCATCTGGATGATGAAGATGTTTAGAATGTTAAGGCTGCTGGGAACTTAATACATGCACAAGGCAAAGCAGAAAGGCAGAGGAACAAAGAGCTAAGGGCTTACCCATATAAGGAAGGCTGGCAACAGGCCACCAGGGTACAATACAGACTTCTCACAAGGCAATTCAGAAACAACATCAGAAATGTACAGGGAAAAACCTTTCCACGTAATTGAACAAGCAACTTGGGCTTGGGAACACAACAATGAAATAGAAGAGGCCCAAACCACGGACTAAATTCTGGAATATGGGCCCATCTAGGTTCTTCAATCCCCAGTCAAATCAGGGAGTACACTACGCTCTGCCCAAAGTACAGAGAAACCTCAAGTCTGGGCCTGCCACAGTTATATCACATCACACAAAGTGAAAACCACATCTCTTAGCATGCTTGGTTCTAGTATAAACTTCTTGAAAATGTTTAAGTTGTTAAACCCACAATAGCAATAAGATTACAAAAGCTTAATACTATAAAATATGCTTTAAATTTTTAGAAAAGTCCAAGAAACTGATTTTTAAAATCTATTAAGAAGTTTTATATTCTTAATTATCTTACCTAAGGTATGTCTCATCTCTTCAATTAACTGTAAACTCCTTAAGTGAGAACTGTATTAAATGTGTTCCCCAAAGCATTAACACACATGACTTTCACTATATAAATGTTAAAAACAAAACTTACTAAATCATTATTTTAAAGCATCTTGTTTAATAACGCATAAAGAACAGTATGAACAAAAAGAGAATAACAGGAATTTACCTTTGAAAACTACTAGAACTAAAGCCAGCTAACACATCAGGTTGAATTTTGAAAAAGCTTTAATTTTAAAGATTTTCAACTAAGTAAAAAAAAAAATTTATGCATAAACAAGGTTCAACTTAGGACTAATAAATCTCACAGAACTGGCAATTAAATATTTTATCCTAAATAGATGTAAAAGCTGTACTGATAATGTTTCTAAAGCTTCTAATATTTAAATTTCATAAGCAGCTAATCTATCGGATTAGTAAATGTTTGCGATCTTTAGGGGAGGAAGAAAAAGCAGCCAAGGCCTTGATAGTATGCAGCACTGGCCCCCAGCAGTCTACTGTGAGCAGGGGCCCTGAGTAAAGGTTCATACATGGGTAATTGTCTGAAAAATGACAGAACGCAAAAATGTTCTGGACGAAGTAAGTTTAATTTTTAATTTATCGATGGGAACTTATCCAAAAAGTAGTCTGATGTTCTATTTTCCTCAGATAAAGATCATGTTAATAATATGTATATAATCATCCATTCAAAAGAAAAATACGTATTTTCAACTCTTTTTTAATTGCCAACAAAACAGGAATTTTCAAATTTCAGCTAAAACTGAGAGCATGAGTTAATTTTGACATAAAACTGAAAGCATGGTTTTAAGATTCAACAGTATAATTTTCACCTGGATAAAAACTGACAGTGAAATTTACTTTTTGTTTCATGTCATCATTACTTTTTCGTTTTTTTTAGACAGAGTCTGTCTGTCACCTAGGCTGGAGTACCATGGCACGATTTCAGCTCACTTCAACCTCCACCTCCTGGGTTAAAGCAATTCTCCTGCCTCAGCCTCCCAAGCAGCTGGGATTACAGGCGCGCGCCACCACGGCCAGCTAATTTTTGTATTTTAGTAGAGGCAGGGTTTCACCATGTTGGCCAGGCTGGTCTCAAATTCCTGGCCTCAAGTGATCCACCCGCCTCGGCCTCCCAAAGTGCTGGGATTACAGGTGTGAGCCACCATGCCTGGCCTCCAGTGACATTTCATAAGAAAACTGAGAACCCAACCTGACCGGAGCCCAGTGTTCCAAGAGGCCCCAGAGTCGAGGCCTGCTGCCCATAGGCTGCTTTTGTCCTCTGCCCTCATGCATGTTACCTTGTCACCAGCCTTCTGCCCGCTTGTCTTCTTCTTACCTTGTCCTTTATACCTTGGTATCTGAGCATGAGAATAAAATGACATTTTACCACAAAATAGAAATCTTTAAAAATAAACTAACTCATTATTAAACAAAGATGCTTACTGAAAAATGTCTTAGAAGTGGGACATCTAGTTAACAGGTTCTGTGAGGCCTACTTTCTTTGGTCCTTTCTTAACTGTGTTCCTAAAGTGGTCTACCCCATGCTTAACTACTGTTTCCAATAGTTACTAGGACAAACACAGATACTGTAGCCTTCACCTGCTCAGCTTCTACTGCCTGAAAAATCATCTCATTCCTGCTACCATTTAGCAGCATTCTAAATAAGTCTCACTTGAGTTCCTAGGCAACTTCCTTGATGACTTGTCCTGACCTCATCTGACCCTTCTCAGGAGCACACAAAGCTGGTTCCTAAAGGTTGGGTGGACCCTACTCTCATTGTCAGATGCCACTATAAGAGCCAGCAGGAAGAGAGTAGGGAACATACTGGATTCCAAATCCACGTCTTTTACTACTAGAGAAATTGCATTTTAAGTGCCAAAATAAGGGTTTATCTTAGAACAAATGCAACCCTAAACAAGAACTATCTAGGGTATTTCTGAAGCGGGTTTATGAGGCTAACTGAGAAATGGGGACTAAACTAGAATAACGGGATGGCGGCAGGAGAAGCAGAGACAGCTGTAAGGACAAACGCTGTTCTCTAAAGCAGCTTTGGGACAGTCCCCGCTTCTCTGGAAAAACTCACAGTATCATTTCCTGACTGACTTAAAACATTGAGATTATCACTATAATTCTGAGATCTTAAATGTATGTAGAGAGAATAAGAGTACGTAAAATGGACTTTAATACTTTATCCTGAAGACATACCTTATATGTAGAAGGTTAAGATTGCTAATTTGCTTTAAAAACAACAATAATTTGCTAAAAAGAGCTTCCAAATAGTTAAATGCTATAGGTACTGATAAGTATTTTGGAATATTCATTAAGTTTAATTTTTCTAAAGCCAGATATTTTCATGAAAAGTAAAGCTTTCTTACATAGGCTATTTTATCTGCAATTAATTTAAAGAAATTTTAAAAATTTACTCATGACCTTATTCTGCCATTGGGGTTATAGCCTCCTATAAGCATTAAAGAAAAAAAAAATTTTTTTAAAAAGGCCTTCCCTACACCAACTAGAAATCTCAGAAGGAATGATGATAAACAATACAATAGTTGTTTCCTTGGTTAGAAATAAAGTCTAAAATTCCTTTAGTTTTCCAAACTTAAACAAAAGGGAGCAACAACGTCCAAGAACAAGAAATAAATAACAGCAATTGTTGAGCAATGTTCTGTGCCTAGCCACTGAAAACAGAAAGAAATCTTGTAGTACAATCACTATGTTCTGGAAGTTCATCTATTTAAAAAGATGCAACTGTATCTGAGAGTCAATCCACCACCATGAACCCAAACAGGAACTCAACTTTTGGAATGGACTCCACAACATCACTCTATTCCTATGGGACAAAAATCAAAGGGACAGTCAAATAATACAAACCTGACCAGTCACAGACGGCAGGTTTGCGTCCCCCCGGGTCCTATGTTGAAATCCTAACCCTCAGTGTGATGATATCAGAAGAGGGAGACTTTGAAGGGTCAGCAGATCATGAGGATGAAGCCTTTGTGAATGCGATTAGGGCTCTGACCCCAGAGAGCTCCCTCACCCTCTTTCTACCATATGACAACACAAACGAGGAGACAGCTCTCTGCAACCTACAAGAGGGATCTCACCAGAACCTGACCACAATGATGCCATGATCTTGGACTTTCAGACTCCAGAACTGAGGAAAAAATGTGTTGTTTGTAAGCTGCCCAATCTATGGTACTTTGTTATGGCAGCCTGAACAGACTAAGAGAGACCCAAACCTATCCTTTGATAAGACCGTCTGGGACTACCAATTGATGCTATACTCTAACCAGTCACCTGAGAAAACAAATTTCCTGACAATCATCTTTCTATCCATTCCTACACATCCTTAATCTTAAATTCAAAGTGTACAGCTCATTTTTTTTCCATTATGCTTAATCTCTGAAATCAAGTCTTACCTTTAACAATTCATAAACACACACAAAGACACACGCATGCATACACACACAAATGTAACCAGAGTACATACATTTTCTTAGAAATTCTATCAAAACAGCTCAGGTATATTAAAAACCATCATGATTTACAATTATAAATCTGATCACCCATCCAGAAGTAAAATATATAAAGTGATATATAAAGTAAAATATATAAAATATATAAAATTTATAAAATGATATAAAATAATCAATATATCCTACAATACATATTTCTAGCTTAATATTCTTAAGCTAGGAATTTATAAATCAAAAGTAAATCTCCTTGTCAATAGGAGAAAAAAATGTCCAAAGTACCAAATGAATCCAAATATTCTATGATTCTGTTACTCAACAGCACATTCCTTTCTACGATACAAATGTCCAACTACTACCAACAAAGCAGCATGTTTTTTTAATGTATACTTAATGGGAAAAAAGCACCTTCAAGAAACTAAAGAGCCTATGTGTTATAAAACAACATAACTTGTAACAAGAAAGACTACAGAGAGAAAAGCAGAGCCCTCTGGAGTTGAGTCCAGGCATGACTGTGTCCGTAGCTAACTCACCTTACTTGGTGTTGTCTGTGCACTTGTTTTTCCTTCTGGTGACTTTGGTGGAGAATGCACATCAGATAGATCTAGTGTACCCTAAAACATTTGAGTTTAAAATTAAAATATATTTAAAAATAAAATACAAATATACCAATTACACTCCAATAGCATTTTAGCATTTAAAAACACTATACAATGTTGGTATTTTGTTTTTTCCTAATGTAACCAACCTTTTAAGATCTTCCTCTAATTTTATCCCCTCAAAAACCTTCAACACATCCCTAGATTCTAATTACCTGCAAAATATTTCATTCATTCACATTGAACAGGCTGCTGTCTGCACTGAAATCTGTTCCCAGCCTACCATGCCAACATTTACTTCCTCAATCCCCTTCTCCCTTCACTCCAGACAAATATTATCCTATATTTCTCTAAGATCTACTTTTCGCGCTCCTTGAATTTGCTTCCCTACTTCATTTTAACTCAAGAAAAAACACCAAATAATAACTTTCATTAAAAATACTTTACCCCCTTTCAAATACTAGTCACTTTTCCAGTTTTCTACTTCCACACATTTTTTTTTCCATTTTGAAAACACCTGTTCTAGCCCAGCATCCACAGGAGTTATCTGCGTCTGCTGCCCAATGCCCTGTCCCCACAGGGTTCTGACCACTGTGGTAAACTCAAAAGAGGAAATTTTAAAAATGCTTCTTGGATGAAAATCACTTCCTACAATTTATGCACTACCAACACAAGCTCTATGACACTATGTACATATTAAAGATTGGCTGTTACAAAAATCCTTTAACAACTATACAAGTATGAAAATGTGCTGCTCTTCATAACTTTAGTTCTCCCTCTACAGTCCCACTATTTCTGGTGGTGACAGTATCTTCTAGGCTAAAATCCTTAAACTCACCTTTGAGAGCTTTTTTTATCATATTGCCTTGTATAACCCTGCCCCATGCCAAAATATTAATTTACTAAGTCTTGTTGATTCTTAAAAGGTCAACTTTATCTGTCCATTTCTTTGAGACAGGGTCTCTGTCACTCAGGCTGGAGTGCAGTGCTGTGATCTCGGCTCACTGCAACCTCTGCCTCCCAGGTTCAAGTGATCCTCCCACCTCAGCCTTCCAAGTAGCTGAGATTACAGGAATATACCACCACACCCAACTAATTTCTGTTTGTTTGTTTATTTTGAGACAGAGTTTTGCTCTTGTTGCCCAGGCTGGAGTACAATGGAGAGATCTCGGCTCACTGCAACCTCCAACTCACGGGTTCAGGTGATTCTCTCACCTCAGCCTCCCAAGTACCTGGGGATTACAGGTGCCCACCACCATGCACAGCTAATTTCTTGTTTAGTTTTTTTTTGAAACAGAGTCTCACTCCATTGCCCAGGCTGGAATGCAGCTATGCAATCTCAGCTCATCACAACCTTCGCCTCCCAGTTCAAGCGATTCTCCTGCCTCAGCCTCCCAAGTAGCTGGGCCTATAGGTGCACACCATCACACTCTGGTAATTTTTTTATTTTTTAGTAGAAGCAGGGTTTCACTATGTTGGTCAGGCTGGTCTTGAACTCCTGACTTTGTGATCTGCCCACCTCGGCCTCCCAAAGTGCTGGGATTACAGGTGTGACCCACCACACCCGGCCAATTTTTTTGTATTTTTAGTAGAGATGGGGTTTCACCAGTTGGCCAGGCTGGTCTCGAACTCCTGACTTCAGGTGATCCACTGACCACAGCCTCACACCCTTACCAGTGTGAGCCACTGCGCCAGACCTTAATTCATATATTTCTAATAGAGACAGGGTTTTGCCATGTTGGCCAGGCTGGTCTCAAACTCCTGGCCTCAAGAGATCTGCCTGTCTCAGCCTCCCAAAGTGCTGGGCTAACAGGCGTGAGACACCATGCCCAGCCTATATGTCCACTTATTTCTATTATTACTGCTACATTCTTATCTAGATTTGCCTTCTTATGGGTTTTACTTCCTTCTAATCTGCTAACTTCTCCATATTTCACCCACCTAACCTTCACAAATCTTCCAAATGGGTACTCCTGTTTGAATCTTCAAAGGCTTCCCATTGACTGTGACAGCATGTTAAAAATCACTAGGCCTTAGACTGTGTAGGAGATACGTAAGATAAAGCTCTTGTCCTCAATATATTTATGATCTAGTAATAGGGCAGAGACACATGCTGATCATTACTACAACTTGACAGAATGAGGCACTAAATTACATGCAGTCTCTAGTAAAGAGAGAGGAAGAACAAGAGTTGCAGCTGAGGAGAAAACCTGAATGACAAAATTCCAAAGCTGAGGAAGAGGAAAGAGGTCTAATTTCAGGTGAAGAATAGAATTTAAAAAAAAAGAAGGCGGCCAAAAAGCACAAGCCAATTTCAAGGAGTAAGTCCAAAGTTTAATCTGGCTTAAGTACAAGGCTCCACATTTCAAAAAAAAAAAGCCTAAGGCTAGAAAAACAGATTAAGGCCACATCAAACAGAACATTTCAGAAGGCCTGAAGAATCTGGGACTCCTGAGCTGCCACTGCACAGTCTCTACAATCATGCAGAAGAAAGGAACAGAGGAAGGGCTGAAGTTTAAAAAGAATTCTGCAACAGTGAATGACAGACTGAAAGCATGAGAACCTTAAGAAGGAAATGATCCTGGACAGACAGAAGGACCTGCATGGTAGAGGTACTGAAGGAGATGAAAATAATCCATTGAGGGGCTTAAAAAACAAGAAAGGGCTTTAGTTACCTACAGCTGGGGGGCAGCCAATAAAATCAATCAAAAGTCACGTTAAAGCAAGTGGGGCACAACAACCTAATTCTTGAGATGATTAAAATGCACTTTTGGTAAAAAGCATCAGCAGTTTAGTTCAGTAAGCTTAACCTGTAGCTAGTTTTCTACAAAGTCAAAAGCCAATAAACGCTCTAATTTTTTATTTCTCATAAATGACAGGTTTCCTTCCAAAGTAATGAAAAACACTAATAACAAAGAGCCAAAACATACATCTTTGAGGTCTCTATTTTAAATATTATTTTATCTGTTTTATACATACACACAAAATATTAAAAGTAAACACCCAGATATTAGGAAGGGGAAACTAGTAAAAAATGGAGAATAAATGCCCAACTTAGTAGTTCAGCAACCTCAGGGAGTAAAACAACTACCCTTTGAGGATACAGAATTCTTAGCCTTGGTCTATGTGACAGAATCACAGCTATGAAAAAGTCAGGGCAAACTTCAGGGGAGGCCTCAAATCCACAAGTCAGAATGGAGTACTGAAGAACAGTGATTCTGTTTCCATTTTTACGTCACACCCACTACACAGGAAAGCTGCTACTGGGTCTCATTTTGAGACACACATCCTATCCAACAGAGAACAGAAAGCCCTCCAGCAATTACTCTTTCTTCCACAGCCTGTTACGAAAGCTACTGTGTGCAGGGTGGAAAGGGAATCTTTCCTGACAGAACTGAAATTAGAGCACATCTGAAGAGGCAACTCACTGGGATGAAACCAAGGAGTCACAAGAACAGAATCAATCAAAACAAGAGATGTAAGCAAAAAGAGCTGGAAGAGGGTTATTTGGGGGGAGTAAGCTGGGATTTGCTTTTGTCTTTACATTTTTACTTTTTTAAAGGTAAAGAGAATGAAGTATGTTTTTTTCCACACAGGATTTGAATGTACTATTGGGTTATTCAGGGAGGTATGTTTTGTGAAGAGCTGGAAAATCTGGTCTGGAGCTAGGATAAAGGACTGAGCTGGACTTAGGCAGACTAAACTTAAGGAGTCATCCATACAATAACAAGAAACAGTAATACTAACACGGTCATCCCTCAGTATCCACAGGGGAGTAGTTGTAGGACTCCCTTGTGTATACCAAAATCCAAGGATGCTCAAGTCCCTTATGTGAAATGGCGTATTTGCCTATAACTTATGTACTTCAAATCATCTCTATATAACTTATATCTAATATAATGTAAATGCTATAGTTTTAGACTGTACTTGTATTCTTTTGTTGTATTTTACCCAAATACTTTTTTTTTTGAGACCAAGTCTCACTCTGTTGCCAGGCTGGAGTGCAGTGGTGCAATCTCAGCTCACTGCAACCTCCACCTCCCAGGTTCAGCGATTCTCTTGTCTCAGCCTCCCAAGTAGCTGGGACTACAGGTATGTGCCACCACACCCAGCTGATTTTTAATTTTTAGTAGAGACAGGATTTCTCCATGTTGGCCAGGATACTCTCGATCTCTTGACCTCATGATCCACCTGCCTCAGCCTCCCAAAGTACTGGGATTACAGTAGTGAGCCACTACACCCAGCCTATCTGAATATTTTCAATTTGCAGTTAATTGAATCCACTGATGCCAGCTACAGTGGCACAGAGAGTATTCCGTGCCGAGCACTGTGCTCAAAGCTTCACACATCTTGCTTCTTTAGACTCCCTCCAGCCCCATAGGCACGATACTTCTGTGCTCTCCATGTGGCAGATAAGAAACCAGGGCACATGGAGGCTGAGTGACTATAGGCTCACACAGCTAGAATGTAGCAGAGCTGAGGTTTCACCCAAGTAACCTGGTTCCAGAGTCCACGCTAGTGGTATGTTAAGGAAGAAAGATCAATCTAGACAGAATAATGTGCATAAACACCACTGCAATGAGGTTAGTCAAAGCACAACTACTAAATGGAAAAGAAAATGAAAGGACAGCTAAAAAGAAAAGAGAGTTCTTCAAGGCCACAGAAGCAGAGAAAGGAGAGCCAATAAAGAGAGGTCACCACCACCTACAGACTGCTGGCCCAAGGAGACTATGGTTCTTCAGTTTGTTTTTGATTGCCTAGTACCCAGCACAGTATCTATCAAGTAAGCACATAATAAAAAGCTTGCTGAATAGTGATAAATAAAGGAATGAATGAAATTAGAATGCACAAGCTGAAGTGACAGCTTGTGCTCTGGGCAGGCCATCTCACTCCCAGCCAGCCTGGTATATGGCTATGCTCTCCTGCTTCCACACTTGGCTGGCAATACTCCACCTTCTCAGAACACCCTTCCCAATCCTCATTCCCACAACTGACGTCCAACTCTCACTTTAAAACTGACTTTCACAAAATTTTGGCATGCGACAATCACTTCCTCCTCTAAACTAATTATGCATAATATGTTTGGAAATAATGTGTTATATGACAATTCCTCCATAATCTTAAACTGTTATTTAAATGTTAATTTCCTTATTTGAGTACATTTTATCTTAAATATCTTTGTGCTCTTCAGGGACACAGATGTTTCTTTTCTTATATTTTACCTCATAGTATCCATAAAGTCTATTTGTCATGCCTTACGTATAATTAGTACTCAGGCAAGCTTTATCAATTTTCAAAGATTCTAACAGAAAATATCCTCTGAGACTCGCCAAATATAATAAGTAGGAAACCTATACAGCCCTCCACATTCTTACCTATAAATTTCTGACTAAAAGTACACATTTAATCAAATATCTGGAACAGGTACAGATATTATCTATGTTTATAAAACAGTATCTTAATGTAAAATTAATGTATGAAAATAAAAATTAGATCATTAATCTCATTAGCACAATTTCTTAAAAAAAAAAGGTTAAGAGCATGAAAAGTACTACTAAACAAAAAAGTGTAAGTCTGAACTGTTTCTAAATTGAGTACTTCTGTTAGCTTATGCAGAGAGGGCTCAGAACACCAAGGCAGGGCCTGGAGCCCACCTCATACAGTATGGAATGAATGGAGGATCAAGCAAGGCAATGAGGAGTTGGGATTTGTTCCAGACAGTTTGGCTCATGACCCAACCCTCCTGAGGATCAAAAATCAGAACAGGTATGCCACAGAATCAGAGTTAGCACATTCCTAATTTTCATTAAAATTTGCACTGATACAATCTGAATGCATTTCATTTTGTTTTTAAAGAATATCTTCTAGTATGAAAACTTAATTTACTATATATACACTAATATGCATGGCTAAACTAAGTAGCCAATAATTAAAATAGAAAAAGATAACACAGGATTATACTTACTTCCCCAGTGGTTGGCCCTTTTTCTTTCTGTTGACAGCGTCTGATCACTTCTAATAATAAAGGTCCACCCACAGTACCTTCTGCTTCAATTATACCTAAATCTCGGGCTAAATTTTCTCGACCTTCAAGACCTTGCAGCTAGAAAAGAAGAAAGATACAAGTGCACAAAAAATAGCAGAAGTTATTTTCAAAGAGTAAAGAAAACATATTCAGAGTATAAAGACATCTCTAAACTCAAAGAGACTGTCTTACTAATGAATGAAACGTCCATTGAAATAAATTATGCCGATTTCCTTTACAGAGTCTCTACCTTCAAACTTTCCATCAACAGGTATAATCTAACATCGTATAAAAATTAACTCTACGGTAACATATTTATTAGCAAACTTTCAAGTTACACAAAGCAGCAACATTGGTGCCAGCTATCTGAAAATTCATATGGCTTTTAAGAAAAACAGATAATCAACTACCAAAAATAATCTAAATGTAAAACACTATCAGTTATCAAATTTTATTCACTTTCAGCTTAATATTAACTCATTTGTATCAAAGAAGGTTTCAAAGGATAGATGTAAAAATCATTATTCTTACTGTGCTAGTTTCAGGTTGAAAAACAGCCAAGGTAAAGTCAAGGTTAAAAAACTGAAGAAATTCTGCAACAAGACTAGCCACTAAACGACCTATAAAGATCAAGAAAAAGATAGGTAAGCAAATCTTTAAAAACTAATTTTTTTAATTAACATTATGAAATGAATAAGATACACTAAATTAATGAAAGAACGGTTTCTAAATTTTTTAAGTTACAAATTTCTTTTTTGAATAATATGATTAAGTAATGAAAATCTTAATCTCCCAATTTTTTCACTGGGATCATCAGTCTGTAATTAACTGCAAGACTATCATCTCACAGATTTCAGTGTTTCGTTTTTTAATAGTTAATATTGGCTTTCTGTACTAAAAGTGGCTTTAACCAACATCCCAAGACCAAAAATATGTAATAGCAACATGATTGTTGTACAATGAAATACTATTTTAAAATGAGGACCTATAAGAATTGCAGACTTAAAAAAAACCCTGAAATTCCTGATTTCTCCCAAATGGTATCAAGATTCAAAAACTCAGAGATAGATAAACAAGAACAAGCTGAATATCTTACCGTCTTTGGTATTTAAAAACTTTTTCAGGCTCTCATTGACTAAAGGAGTTTTGTTCTGTTAAAAAAAAATAAAAGATTTTAAGTGTCATGTGTTTACCCTAAAAACAGCTATAAAATATCAACTTACAGCTTTCATCCATAAAATTATGGTTTTACAAAATCCATTCTACAACCGTTGATTACTATACTATAGGACTTACTTTGTGCTATTTAGTAATTTCTCAAAGTTAATATACCACAACTATTTATGAAGATTTGCATTTATTTTTATTTTTTTAATGTTTTATAAACCGCTTATTAAATGGCTTTTCAAGCTAGATATTTTTTCTTTTTTTAAGACGGAGTCTTGCTCTGTGGCCAGGCTGGAGTATAGTGGCGCAATATTGGCTCACTACAACCTCTGCCTCCCGGGTTCAAATGATTCTCCTGCCTCAGCTTCTTGAGTAGCTAGGACTACAGCCACCATGCCCAACTAACTTTTGTATTTTTAATAGAGACAGAGTTTCACCATGTTGGCCAAGATGGTCTCGATCTCTTTTTTTTTTTTCCCCCATTTATTTATTTTATTGCATTTTAGGTTTTGGGGTACATGTGAAGAACACACAAAATTGTTGCATAGGAACACACGTGGAGGTGTGATTTGCTGCCTTCCTCCCCATCACCTACATCTGGCATTTCTCCCCTTGCTATCTCTCCCCAGCTTCGCTCTCTTCACCTCATGATCCACCTGTCCCGGCCTCCCAAAGTGCTGGGATTACAGGCTGAGTCACTGCGCCCGGCTGAAGCTAGATATTTTCAAATACGTGTGTGAAATAAAATTAAATGCAAACAACTGTTTATTATTTCAAATATATGAAGTTTGATATTCTGTCATCTCAGATACCTGCCATTTATAGCATGGCTTACTATAAGCAGGAATTTAATTATACACTTGTAATTCCCAGTTTAACCATGAAATGTGAGATGATCTTATGTGGCCCACAGGCCGACTTATTTTTTAATTACACATTTATTTAAAGAAGTATGGAGAAAACACTTCTAGCCATCAAACCTGTGACTGTTGCTGAGAACAGGCTAGGGCAGGTAGCACATGTTAAGCTTCCTAAAGACCACATTAATTACTACCACAGGGGCAGCCTCATACATATACTGCTAACGGGAATGCAAAATGGCATAACCAGTTTGGAAAGCAATTTGATAGTGTTTTTAAAAAGTCACAAATATTTCTAGCATGTGACCTACTCACTTTACCCCTACCTGTTTTCTCAAGAAAAATCACAGATCCAAGCAAAGACTTGTACGTGAATGTTCACAGAAGCCTTATTTATAATACTCAAAAACTGGAAACAGCCTAAATGTCTATCAACAGGTAATGGCTAAACTCTTATATCCATACAACATACTAATGAAATGATTTATTAATACATCCTACAATATGAAAGAATTTCAAATGCATTATGTTGAAACTAGACCAAAAAAAAAAAAAAGAGTACATACTCTATGATTCCATTTATATAATTCTTAAAAAGGTTTAGGGTGGGGAAGAGGGTTACAAAAGGGGCACGAGGAAAACTTCTGAAGGTCATGGATATGTCCACTACCTTGATTTTGGTGATCATTTCACAGTTGCATAAATTAACTATTAAAAAATCAAATTGTACACTTGAAGTTTATTAAACACTTGAAATTTACTATAGGTCAATTATACCTCAATAAAGTTGTTAAAAGACAAGGAAAGGTGAGATCATCAAGATATTTGGTAGGGTGGTTCAGGGAATTCTAAAATACTGAGTCAACTGAAATATTTAAAGAAAATGGAGGGACAAGATCAGATGTGTACTATAAACAGCCAATCTAGGAGCAATGTGGAAAAAGGACTTTAGGGAGACGGTGAGGGATAACATGTAAAGGGAGACTACTGAGTAGGAAGGGGATAAAGCAATCTGGAAAAGAAAAAAACAAGCACAAAGCAGGCAGCAGAGCACTCCCTCAGGGGCACTTCAGATATAAACCTGACAGAGCCAGATGATAACTGAGCAGGTGGAAAGAAGAGCAAGGCCTAAGAAATGCTTAGATTTCTTACCACATAAATGATGGTCCCATTAAGGGCAATATAGTGGGGAGTTTAACATACAGGTCTGAAACTCAGGAGAGAAATATGCATGAAAGATACAGGACTGGAGTCACTAGATGAATAAGGTCAGCCTGTGAGAGTACAGAATGACATCTGTGGGATAAGTCTCAGTCAGGTGTACAGGAAAAAGATCGTGCAAGAAACCAAGGAGTGGTCAAAAGGAAAAAAAAAAAAAAAAACAGAAAACAGTCTCCAAGGTCAAGGAGATTTTCAAGAAGGAAGGAGGAATCAAGAATGTCAATTATAGGCCTAGCATGGTGGCTTACACCCATAATCCTAGCACTTTCGGAGGCTCTCGTGGGAGGAATGCTTGATCCCAGGAGTTCGAGACCAGCCTGGGTAATATGGAGAGAACCCATCTCTACAACATGTTTTTTTAAAAACAAAAACTAGCTGGGAGTTGTGGAGCATGCCTGTAGTTCCAGTTACTTGGAAAGCTAAGGCACAAGGTTAAGGTTACAGTGAGCCATGATCGTGCCACTGCACACCAGTCTGGCTGACAGGGCGGGAGACTTTGTATCAAAAAAAAGAAAAAAAAAAGAATGTCAAATGCCACAATGACCAACTAAGATAGGTAAGAACTAAAATATACTCACAATTAAGACATTCTTCTTGATTGTAGCAAAAGAAATTACTTAGGGTGGTAGTGGTAGATTTAAGATTTTAAGGGACTAAGGGGAGCCCAGAACATAAGAAATGGAATAAGCACGCACATTCTTTTCAAATGTGGCTGTGCACACCTGTAGTCCCAGCTACTCCAGAGGCTGAGGTGGAAAAATCCAGCCCAGGGAATTGAGACTGCAGTGAGCTATGACTGTACCACTGCACTCCAGCCTGGGCAAAGGAGCAAGACCCTGTCTCAAACAACCAAAGCAAAGCAAACCAAACCTGCTGTGAAGGAAAAAAAAACACAGTGGTATTAGAAGCAGAATCTGAATAAAGGAAAACAGTTTACTCCTAATAGTCATTTAAACATGTTTTCAAGCTCAACAGAAAAGCCAACAGAAAGGAAGAGGTCAAAGATATAGTAAATAATTAAAGACTTGAGAGTATACATAGGCAGAGCAATTATTCTTGGACAAGACAAAGCCTATTCTTCTAAAGCAGGAAGGAGGTACAGATAAATACAGACACAGGTAAGCTTTTTCACAGGTGAGCAATAGATTGGGGAACAGGAGGACATAAAGTTAGGATCTGATGGCTTCGATCTTCCCTGTGGAGGAAGTAACAAGATCATGTGTTCAGAGAGAAGGAAGCAGGGGTGACTGCACAGTTAGGGTGAAAAACAGAACTGCTGCCTTCTCAGGAGCTACCGAGGCTGTGCCTGCCAATTTGCAGCATTAGCAATCCACATGGTTGATTTAGTTTTCTCCAGCAGCACATACGTGCAAAGTGGGAAAAGAGTTAGTTTGCTGGGTTAAATGACCACTGAGATTTCTTCCAGACCAAGTATGACTGACTGTAAGGCAAAGTAATTGGAAGGCAAAGTAATTAGAGGTCCAGACCAAAATGTTACCAAGAGAAGACCAAGATGCTTCCACAGACATGGAAAGGACAAAGAACTAAAGAGTTTGATGAAATTAAAGATTAGGTATACAGGTCTAAAGAAGTGAGAGAACAGGAGACTGATTTGTCATAGAGCAAGAGTTTAAGACTTTGGGCCGGGCGCGGTGGCTCAAGCCTGTAATTCCAGCACTTTGGGAGGCCGAGGCGGGTGGATCACAAGGTCAAGAGATCGAGACCATCCTGGTCAATATGGTGAAACCCCGTCTCTACTAAAACTACAAAAAATTAGCTGGGCATGGTGGCGTGTGTCTGTAGTCCCAGCTATTCAGGAGGCTGAGGCAGGAGAATTGCCTGAACCCAGGAGGCGGAGGTTGCAGTGAGCCGAGATCGCGCCATTGCACTCCAGCCTGGGCAACAAGAGCGAAACTCCGTCTCAAAAAAAAAAGACTTTGATGTTAGTTCCACTCTTGTTGACAAATTCCAGAATATTTACTCAGGATAGTTGTTGGGAGTTGGAAAAAGTTAAATTACCCACTTTAATACAGAGAAGTGGCTGAACTTTTAAAATAATCACTGTCCTTTTTATTGTCAAAATAACTGAGTGGTCAGATAATTTGGGGAAAAGTTGCATATACTATATACCCCCATTTCATAGGGATTAATAACATATATTAACTTATTAAAGGTTCCGAGTGAACCTGCACTTAACATTGACAATGGAACCATTTCTTCAAGAAACTCCTATGACCTTTTGTTTGAGACTTAGCATTGGTATCAGTTACTGCACTACCTTAACTTTAAGATTACCCCCAAATTCAAAAGCTACACGAAAAAAGATTAATATTGGCTTTCTCTCAATAGTAATATAATCCTTAACAGTTCTATTTTTGAGACGGTTTTTAACGAATGAGAAATTAAGGACTAACGAATACAGCCATGTTAAAACCTGGAAACTTCATACCTCTACTTTTTCTTGCTCTTCTAGTGCTAAAAACACGGCTGCTCGGAGTTCCGCCTTGAAAAAATAGTTAAGAAACAAGAAATTATTATTTCAAGACAATTTTCACAAGCTCACATTTAGCCAACAACAAACACCAGTAAGCCAAAGAGCTGGGCCGGCAGGTGCAGAGGTTAGAAACGCCCTCAGAAACGTTCTCAGTCACACAAGCTCTGCAACCCCCACGCTTCGGCTGGACGCGCTGCTTTCCCTCCGTGGATCGTGCCTGAGCCAGGGGAAGAGACGCTGGGGCCCGCTCCCAGACCCATCCGCGGGTCGCCCTTGTGGCCCCCAGGCCCCGCCCCCGCGGGATGCTGCAGGGGACCGGCCAGGCCCCTACAGCCCGCGCTGCACTGCGGGGCCACACGAGCTAACGAGCCGACCCCCTCCATGGGGCAGGCAGTACGGAGACCCCGCCGGGGCGCGCCCCCAGTGCCCGCCGGCCCCGGCCCCTCGCCAAGAAGCCGGCCTCGTCGCCGCGACCGTTATGACGCCCGCTGTCCACGCAGGCCCTGCGGACCCGGCAGGCCCGGCCCCGGCAGGCCCGGCCCCAGCCTCCGGCCTCACCTTGATGCGGTTCAGTACCCCGCTGTTCTCCAGCGTCTGCACCAGCAGGTCCCGGAGCTCCGTGTCCTCCTCGGCCACCACTGCGGTCGCCGTCGCCGCCATCTTGCTTCTCCAAGACAACAGCCCAAGACGCGCTAACGGCCAAAGGCTACCGCAGGGTCCGCTCCGCGCGCGGGCTACGGGGCCGACGCGACCAAGGTCCCGCCCCGACGCCCAGCGCGCGAGCCCCGCCCACTGGCGTCGAGGGGCGGGGCGTGGAGACCTCGGGGTTGACGCGGGGCACCCGGCCTTGAGGAGCAGCGGACCACCTAGTGCTGAAACTCAGTGCGGGCGCTGGGGGCGGAGCTGCAAGACGCGGGCGGGCACGCAAGGGGCGGAGCGTCGAGGCGTGGGGGCGGGGCGTCGGCTCGGGCGCTGGGCGGAACCTCGATTGCGAAACCCATTGGCCGCAGTCGCCTGAGGCGCGAGCTTTGAAGCCCGCGGGTGCTGAGGAGAAAGTGCCCTCGCGCCTGGAGAGCAGACTCTGGTGGCCACTGCCGCTTCCCACCGCCTCAGGATCGCTGGAGTCACATTATTGACGTCATTAAGGCTTACTAGCCTAGAGCCGGACGGACCGCGGGAAGGAGGCCCCGAGACCCAACTGCGGCTCCGCGGGCGTCGGGGAAGGGACTCCCGAGAGGTCGCGAGGGCGCTGGGCCCTGCCGGTTGTCACCCAGAAATAGCGTTCGGAGGCCCCCCAACCGGGCGAACGGACCCTGCTCTCCCAGGGCCTCCGAGGCTACCCGGAAAGGCGCCCGGGTGCAGGGGCGGCACGGCCCCAGGAAGAGCCGAGGGCCGAGGAGGGCGTGGGGTGGGCTCCGCGCTGCCCGAGCTGGGGCCGCGGCCCTCCGCCGACATCCCGGAGAGTCCTGGACCCCTCCCGGGCCCTGGAAGCTCCGTTCCGCCGGAGCCGACGCGCTCTCGAGGTCTCCATCCTGCCGCCTGGGCTGCCCGGCGCCCCTCGCCTTGGCAAATCAGCTCTCCGGACCCAGCCCTGCCTCGGAGAGTGTAGGTGCACAAGGCCAGCCGGCCTGTCGGCCCTGGGGTTTCGGAGGGCGCCACTGTATGGGGGCGTAAGCCGAGAAATGTCGAGGCCGGGCTCCAGCAATTGAGAAGCTGATGTGGCCAAGGTGAAGGACGCGCCCGGAGGAAGAAAACGGGAGTCAGATATGGGCGGTGGCCGCGCCTTTTCCGAGGACGGCGTCTAGGGCCTCAGCGCCTCAGAGACGGCGGTGCGACCCACGTGGCCGGCGGAAAGGAGCAGCGGGACCTACGGCCTTAGGGAAGCCACGGGAAGACCGGCGGCCTTTAGGGCTCGGCGCTGTGACGCGCGACCCTCTCCTTGAAACCCTGAGCTCAGGCGCCAAAGGAAAGGCTGCTTTGGGCAGAATTCAGCTTTCAGCTTAAGTTTTTTTTCCTTTGGCCGAGTCAGTTGTGGTTCCGAGTTCTATTTTCCTTTCACTGGTATGTGTCCAAGAATCAATCTTAGGAGATGCCTGCTGGCCGCTTTGGGGTAGGGCCCAGGTGCCCACACTGGCTTCCAAACCCCTCTCTGTGTTCCTGGTTGTGGCTGTGCACGTACCTGTCACATTTGAACGCACAGAGCATCAACACTGGCTTCCAAATGCATCTCCGTGTTTTTTCTTTTATCCTTTGTTTGAGACGGAGATTTTTGCTCTTATTGCCCAGGCTGGAGTGCAATGGCGCAATCTTGGCTCACTGCAACCTCCATCTCCCTGCTTCAAGCGATTCTCCTGCCTCAGCCTCCCAAGTAGCTGGGATTACAGGCATGGACCACCACGCCTGGCTAATTTTGTATTTTTAGTAGAGATGGAGTTTCTCCATGTTGGTCAGGCTGGTCTCGAAATCCCAACCTCAGGTGATCCGCCTGCCTCGGCTTCCCAAAGTGCTGGGATTACAGGCATGAGCCACTGTGCCTGGCCTATCTCCGTGTTCTTGTTATTGGGTGTGCACACACGTGTCAGGTGTGTACACACAGATCACAGGGCGTCCACATCAGCTTTCAAATGTGTCTCCATGTTCCTGTATGTGGGAGTACATGCACATGTCACATGTGTACACACAAATGACGGCATCCACAATGGTTTCCAAATGTGTCTGTGTTCCTGTATGTGGGTGTGTATGCACGTGTCACGTGTACACAGATGACACGGCATCCACAATGGCTTCCAAATGTTTCCTGAATGTGGGTGTGTACACACATGTCATATGTGTGTGCACAGATCACAGGGCATGCACATCAGCGTCCAAATGTGTCTCCATGTTCTTGTATGTGGGTGTGCATGCACGTATTATGTATGTATACACAGATCACGTATCCACACTGGCTTCCAAATTTTCTCTGTGTTTCTGTATGTGGGTGTGCATGCACGTGTCAGATGTATACACACATGACAGGGCATCCACACTGGCTTCCAAACACACATGTGTCACATGTGAAGAGGCTGGAAGAGGTAAGGTTCATGAAGGTGCAGTGCAGTGTTGTACTGTTGGCACTTTGTGTGTGTTTGGTTAGTTTTGCAAGAATATGTTGGTGAAGGAGAGAGAAGGCCAAACAGCTGATGAGCAGTGTGACTGAAATTCAATATATACAGAAATGACAAAACATCTATGAACAAAAGATTTTGTGACCATCCCCCTGAGATTATCACTCATGCAGTCTGCAGGAAGTTTCAAGAATCCACATTTTCTTCTAATATACGTAGTCTGCAGGTTATAATTTGATATACAAATAGCATATATAAGGTAAAAAAGAAAAATTTGAAGTTTCCTGCCTAGCCCAATTCTTCTCCTCACTGGTAGTGTCTGTTAAATTGGAAAGGTATCTCTTTCCAGACATATTAATACCTTTTATACAGTTGACTCTTGAACATTAGTTTGAACTGCTTGGGTAGACTTATATGTGGATTTTTTTCAGTAAATGGAAATTTTTTGGTGATGGCAATAATTTTGTGAAAAACCTCAGATGGCTCCCTTAGCCAAGAAATATGGGGGGGGGGGGGAACAAGAAAAAGCTAGATATGCCGTGAATGAATAAAATATATGTAGATACTAGGCTATTTTATTATTTACTATCGTAAAGTATATACAAAGCTGTTATAAAAAGTTAAAATTTATCAAAACAGTTACATGGCACCCATTAGTTTGAAGAGAAATGTAAACAATTGTAAAGATGCAATATTAAATCATAACTGCATTAAATTCCTGTAGTACATAGTGTACTACTGTAATGTTTTTGTAGCCACCTCCTATTGCTATTGCAGTGAGCATAAGTGTTGCTTGTATTGGCTAAAAATGCCAAGTAACATAATCATCTCTAAGTGAGCAGTTGATCTTTTTAGTACATTACATATCATAGTAAAAGGTAAGCTCTTGAGAGTCCCACACATTTCTCATTGTGCTTAGTGCAGTGCTGTAAACCTTGGATAACACCATGGGACCCTTATAAAGTGCCACTAGTAATGCTGGAAATGCTCCCGAGAAGCAGAGAAAAGTTATGAAATTATGAAAAAGTTGAATTGCTTGCTACATATTAAGGTCTGCAGCTAAGGTTGCCTGCCATTTTGGCTAAGTGAATCCAGCATAAGGACTGTTTTATAAAAAGAAAGTTTATGAAGCCATCACTTCAGCTACACCATCGGGCATGAAAACCTTGCACTTTTTGGAAAATACCTTTTTATCTCATTGCAAATGCAGCTTTTTGTGGATACAGGATTGCTGTGAGAAAGACATATACTCTAATATGATTCAAGAAAAAGTGAAGTCATTATCTGACAAAGCAAAAGGAAGATAAAGGTTGGTATGATAATTTTAAAAAGAAGTTTGGCTTTTAAAAAATGTCAAGATAACAGGAGAAGCAGCTTCTGCTGAACCAGATGCAGCAGACGGGTTCCCAGACACCATTAAGAAAATGACTGAGGACAAAAGGCCAGACTTGCTGGCTTATGCCTGTAATCCCAGCACTTTGGGAGGCTGAGGTGGGTGGATTGCTTGAAGCTAGGAGTTTGAGACCAGCCTGGCCAATTGGCAAAACCCCATCTCTTCTAAAAATACAAAATTTAGCCCGGTGTGGTGGTGCATGTCTGTAATCCCAGCTACTGAGGAGGCTAAGGCTTGAGAATCGCTTGAACCTGGGACGAAGAGGTTACAGTGAGATTTCACCACTACACTCCAGCCTGGGAGACAGAATGAGACTCTGTATAAAAAAAAAAAAAAAAAGAGAAAGAAAGGAAATCACTGAGGTTAAAATATACCTGCCTGAACAGGTTTTTAAGGCAAACAAAAGTGCCCTATTCTGGGGGAAATAGTGCCACATAGGACATTTATTAGGAAGAGAAACAAACATCAGGATCCAAGGTAGGAAAGGATGAGCTGACTCTACTGTTTTGTGCAAATGCAGCCAGATTTGTGATCAGGACTGCCCTTATCTGTAAAATTGAGCCTTGAAGAGGAAAGATAAACACCACCTACGAGTCTTTTGGTTATACAGCAAGAAGGCTGAACAGCAACGCTTTTTCTGGATTAGTTATATAAATGCTTTTTTTCTACTGTCAGGAAGTACCTTGCCAGTAAAGGATTGAATTTAAAATTCTTTTGGTATTGGACAATGCCCCTGGCCACCCAGAACCCCATGAGTTCAATACCAAACACAATGAAATGGTCTGCTTGCCCCTAAACCCAACATCTCTAATTCAACCTCTAGATCAGGGAGTCATAAGGACCTTTTAAGGATGATTACACACAGTACTCTATGGAAGAGAACCCCAATTGAGAGAATATCGTGAAAGTCTGGAAGGACTACATCATTGACGATGCCATTGTTTTAGAAAAAGCCATGACAAGCCATCAAGCCCAAACAACAAATTCTTGCCTGGGAAAACTCCAGATGTTATACATTACTTCATGGGATTTATGACAGAGCCAATCAAGGAAATCATGAAAGATATTGTGGATATGGCAAAAAAAAAAAAAAGGTTTCAAGATACACATCTTACAGAAATTCAAGAACTAAGAGACACCACACCAGAGGAATTAACAGAAGACCACTTATGGAGATGACTCCTTCTGAACGATGCCAGACGATGAGGAAGAAGATGAAGCAGTGCCAGAAAACAAATTGACATTAGACTGTCTGGCAGGGTTCCACTTATTCAAGATG